CAATTGGGTCAGGGGGCTCAAAAGTGAAATGCTACTCCCAGTACATTTACATCATACAATCTCTACATTTAATATTGCCCATCACAAGTGAGCATTTACATCAAACAATTAAAACAATTTAGAAGATTAAAGATGTAAATGTAATTTTTGGGTGAAATAAAATGTTGTAGAATTGTTTTTGATTTTCTGATGGTATAACTCTATTATTAAATAAACATTTACTTTACTTGTATTAAAGTGAACTGTTGCTGAGCTAGCGCATTGAGCGTCCCTGGACGGTGTGTGCATTCTATACATGTAAGTTTACACAATTATTATCATGTCTAAATGTAAACATTATTCCACCAGTCCGTTGCGCAATGTACACTTGTCTGCATACATGTACAACCTTGGGAGAAGTCATTCAGAATGACTTTTAGATAGCTTGCCTTTTAAACAGCTTTCCTTTGAATAAATACATCGTTATTTGCAATTCTCAAGAATCGAGAGTAATCGATGCTCGACACGGATACATAAATGACTAAAACGGCCACGGTGAGAGTGAGAAGCAGGAAGAGGATTGACCCAAGAGCAAGTATTTCTTAGAATTTGATGTATGGAGGCATAAAAATAGATTATGGGGAAATTCATGATGAGGATATATATTTTTGTGTAATTTATTTGAGGGGTGGTTTTGGTTTTGTTAGAGTGAAGGGGATTGAGGGAAGGATGGGGGAAGTGAATGTAAGGGAAGTGAGAGAGAGGGAGGGAGAGAGAAAGAAAGAGAGGGAGGGAGAGAGAAAGAAAGAGAGGGAGGGAGAGAGAAAGAAAGAGAGGGAGGGAGAGAGAAAGAAAGAGAGAGGTAGGGGGGAGAGAGAGAGAGAGAGACAGAGAAAGAAAGAGAGAGGTAGGGGAGAGAGAGACAGAGAGAGGGGTTTTTCAACAGTGATAAAGTACAAAAGGAATTGAAGATCGATTGGACGGGTCTGAATTTGGAGACTAGGCTGCTAAAGGGAAGTGTTGTACCAGGGTTGCCTGTGAAGATTGTACATGGACTGGGGATCCGACACTTGGGTGCATGGCATATACCATGCATACAGAAAGCCAACGTTGACAGGGAGATGGGAGGGAATATAAAATGCCATGCAAGTGTAATTTCTTACATAGGGCCTGCAATTCAGCCATTTATTAAAGATCTACCTACATATACATCTTTTAAAGTTTTATAGGTTACATGACACCATTGTACTTTGAAGGGAGGATGATTCTCAGAAGTCAGAACACTTGAATCGTTTACTCAAAGTCTTGAATTTTTTTCCATATCTTCTCAGCTTAATTTAAACTTAATTTAAAGTCTTATTTATGTGCTTCCAAAATGGACATAAAGCAATAGCTCCAGCACCTTTCAAAGTTTTATAGGTCACATGACACTATTTAACTGTTAGGTGGGAGGACGATTCTCGGAACACTTAAATCGTTTACACAAAATCTTGAAATTTCTCATGTCTTCTCACCTTAATTTTAAATCTTATTGTGTACTTCCAGTATGCTTTGGAAATCATCACTATATATTAGTTTAGCCTGTACACGTACATGAAGCCATAGATCTGGCGCTCTTTAACAGTTTTATAGGTCACATGACACAATTTAACTGTTAGGTGGGTGGAAGATTCTCAGAACACTTGAATCGTTTACACAAAATCTTGAACTTTTTAATCATATCTCCTCATATCACCTGCTCATGAGACCATTCTTAAGAGCTTCAAATTATTGATGACCGGTTTCATTTTGAATTACTCATATACATGTAATCACTGTACAAATATTTGAAGGGAAACATTTGCTGACATTCAGAAGGACGTTAAATCATGTGCTTTTTATAGAGAGTTAATGCCCTTTTGGCACTGACCAGACAAAAATATGACATGATTGAATTAATTGATCTGTGGTTCAACTATAAAAAAGGATAGTCGACCTGTTCGAAACATCGAGCCACTCCCGCCACTCGTCCTCTCCAAGCGCTATAGTTCTCCTTAGAACTATTAGCTAAGAAAGATAACCAACGGTCTTTTTCAAGGCTATACCAAACAGTCCTTTTCAGGACTACAAACCCTCAAGAAAGATTACTGAGAATCCTTTTCGGGACTCCTCAATCCTCCCTCTCTCTCACATGGTGCACCCGCAAGCCTACTGTATATAAAACTCTGCTCATGGGGAGAAAAAAGGTTAGAAGGAACTTAAGGAAGTACATGTAATAAAAGATGTTGACATTTACACTGGAGTCATGGAATAAACAAACACAATTAAACTTACACTTCCTGTATATACTACTACTACTAATAATAATATATCTTGTCTACCGAGGCCCGAGGGTAGCCTCATCAGTATTAATACTGTTCTCCCTGAGGGCCCTGCAATCATATTATTACCCCGGCCATTAACAGACCATCCAAACTGTCTTGATGTCATGAACTGCATTAATGCCAAAGCAAGGCATTTTGATCAACATTGCTTCTCTCTACTCGGGTGTATGCAATGTTTGTTATACTGATTAGCAAGTGTGTGCCTGCACATGGTGACTGTCTGGAATGCTCTCCCTTGGAGTGGAGATGGTGCACATTATTTGCAGAATAGCATTGAAAAATATCCGATCATCAAATTAATGTATAACATGGAAAATGAATTTTATTTTGAATATTCCATTGGAGTGGAGATGGTGCACATTTATTTGCAGAATAGCAGTGAAAAAAATCTAATTATCAAGATAATGTGTAACACGTAAAATAGTTTTTAATTATGAATGTAAATTTTTCGTGGTTACAAGATGCAATTGTGGCTCTGTAGCTGTAACATTACTTTTTGTCCATTTCTATTAAAAATATATCAAATGGAAAAACTTTCATGTGATTATATAAACATGTAACTGATACCTGTAGTACTGACCGTTGATGCGATACACATGGACAGAATATCTGAACATCCCCTTTCTTTTTTTTTTCTTATATCCTTGTTACGAGACTAACCACATCCGGTTATTCCCTTACACTCGACTATATATTACAGAATTATTGGAAATGAAAACTAGAAACTGAACAAGTACTTTTTAGGAATTCCCCTATGATAAATTAGCTGCATGTATTTAAGTTTCAATGTAAATAGCAGTGTTTACATGAAAGTATATTGTCTAGAGTGCTGTTGAAGTTTTTAAAAGTGGGGTAAGAAGTTTTCAAGGAATAGTTTTTGTTGAATTGCACTGGGATTTTCCATCAAAGGGGGTAATTTCCACACTCAAAAGTAATATTTGCACTGCAGACAATCACAGAGTTATCCAGCTTTAATAACGATATCAGAGTCCGAAACTCAAATAGTCGAGTGGCAGCACAACATTTTACTAGATACTCTGGATTTTCTTTATACCCAAACTGCCTCAAAATGATGTCAGTTAAACCTTTTCAGCCTCTTAATTTAGCCTTTCCTTTATTTTTGATTCCTGCAGCAACTATGAGCAAACAAGACAGAAAACCCAAATTGAAAAATCCACCTCTGATGTTAACTCTGTGTTAAAGTATATGGCTATAAACAGATCATGAGGGTATGTTGAATCGATTGCATTTTGAAATTAGTTATAATGTGAGATAAAACTTTTAATGAGTATGACTTCAGATTTAACCTCTAAACTATAATGTTTGAAGTGGCAATTATCGAACTTTGCCCAGTATTTTGAGTACCCATCAAGGGGCGTTGAGTTCTTGGAAAATAAAAAAGATAAAGATTTAGGGTGAGTAAATTTGTTTAAGTCGACATGAACTTGTAGTGCTATACAGCAATACTGTCTTGTCATTATTTCAAGTCAGTGTTAAAGTAGATTGTGACAGAAACAAATATGTGCATACCGGTACATGGCAGCTTGGGGAAGCATGCTCAGGAAGATGTACATGTATGTATGCATAAATTTATGATCTTGTTCTGTCTGTTGCTTATGGTTACACAGTCTGTTTTATCATGAATTGTGTTTGTTTGTTTTGTTGACTTGATATGCCAAATAAAATCATAATACAGGAATAAAAAGAAGATTAATATTCTATACACATACATGTGGGCCTGTGAAATCCAAAATCTAAACAAATTTGCTAGAAATTATTAAAAATTGACTGATATCTGCATGAAAATAAAAGATTTGCTAGAAAAAATGGACCCAAATCACCTTATTTTTAGCTTATCCATCTGCCGATCCACTACACACTATGTCAACAGTTCCGAGAATTTCCTCTCGATGCCATATCAGTCCTGCATGAAAAATTCTATTATCCTTTGTTCAACAAGCATTTGATATGTGACAAAGGTATTTTTATCTCTGTAAATAATAGATATAGAACAGAGAAGGCGGGAAGTTCGTCGGGTATTGATATAAGAGAGGAATGTCCGATTCAATCAGTTTAACTTTTAGGGTTTGCAGGTGAAAGAGGAAATACATTTAGACTGGTGTGTAGACTGTTGATTGTTTATCATTTATTTCCGTCACTGGTACTTTTGATTGTCTGGAATGTTGCTTGAACGTGTTTGTGAGATAGATTAGCGACACATAGTGGCATGAATAGATACATTCGCAATTGTGAAATATGCATAACAGTTAGTGATGTTTGTTAATTACAAGTTCTTTTTTTACATATATTGAGATGGTATTTATGGGTTTTGTGGTCTAGTGTATAATTTACTCAAATGTGGATCACATGGTTCGTGGTTTGACTCACTCCCGAGGATTTTATTTACAGGTGTATAAACATGTAAATGCATTTGAAAGGATTCATTGTTTTCTTTTTATGACTTTGCAGATTTAGACAAATTTTTCCGCCTTTTGAATCGAGGAAGATGTCTTAGGAAGGGAAGCAACTTCCAGACAGCATTTTGAGTCTTTCAGCCCCACCCAACCTGTTTTGTGTATGTTCAGGTGTATTTATTTATAATTAAACATGTAAATGCAATTTGTAATGATTAATTGTTTTCTTTTTATAACCTTGCAGATTTAGACGAAAATATTCCGCCTTTAGAATCAAAGAAGATGTCTTAGGAAGGGAAGCCTCCTGACCGCATCTTGAGAGTCTTGCAGCTCCGCCCGACCTGGAATCGTCTTCCTGGACCGACGAAGGCGTGTTTTCATCCCACTCCTGACGCCATTAAAGCGCCCCAGCCATGGACCCGGCCTCTACCAGACAGGCGCAGCACCACCACCATCACTCTCCGCCTCCCATGATGCAAGGCAAAGACCATCATCATCATCACCACCAGCGCTCGTCGGTAGGAGCAGAGAAGGCCAGTGATACGATGATACTGCAGACAAATTCTCCCATGCCTACAAGTAAGAGACAACTCATCTTCATCTCAAGTATTCTCCATCTTTTTGCACACAAAAACATCAATACAATAAAAGAATAATATCAAAGAACAATAACATCAAAAGTAACAATGGCCAGGACCCCTGAGAAGCAAGACTGCTTGTAATCGGGACCCTACATACAAGTACATTATAATAGAAATATAAATTTAAATGCACATATACAAGCACACACATACACTCATACACACATTACAGGATTGAGCAAAGATATAAGAGGAAGGACAAAATTAAGAGGACCGTGTATTCTTTATCTTTTTTACTAGACCAGGACCCGGTAAAATGGACCAGAGAGGAGGTCTTGAACTGGTTGAAATGGTGCCAAGAGGAGTTCTCCTTGGACAGTGTTAACGCCGAGAAGTTCACCATGAACGGTAAAGCGCTCTGCCTCATGCCCAAGCAGTCGTTCTGCGACCGGGCGCCGGAATGCGGGGACATCCTCTACGAGCTTCTTCAGAAATTATTCCGTAAAGGTAAGCCAGGGCTAGACCTATAGCGGGCTACCCCTTGATGGTAGTGACCTATAATTAACGAAAGCCCCCTATCTCAAGAAATAACTGAATACATTTTCAAAGGCTCATTCACTTTAATAAAGATATGGTATGATTTGGTGAACTGCATCATTCTTTACACCCCCCCCCCAAAAAAAAAAAAATTCTTCATTATTGTGTATTAAAGTGTCAAGCGCTTCATAATACTTTATCTTATAACACGCAGTGGCCCGAATTCACAAAGATTTAACTTAACCCATGGTTTGAACTTTGTTTACATAACCCATGGTTTAAATATTAGCGCAAAATAAGCGTACCTTACCTTCCGCGCATCTTATATTGGACCTCTGTCTGTGTCGCGCTTATTTTGCGCTAATTTAATTTTAGACCATGAGTAATTTGTAAATGAAGATTTAAACCTTGGGTTAAATATAAACCTCCTTTGTGAATTCGAGTCAGTATGTTTTGGATCTTCTTTAGCACACAGCCACATTTTTTCCATCCCTTGTTGCCATACATTTTACATATAAAAGATGAAAGAAAATACAATGTCTCGCTTCATGGAGGAATGAGCCTATAAGGTAATCAAATTTATGTGGGTAGTAACTAAGATATGAAATTATTGTGAACTTGCTTCTGATATCTACCATCTTAGGGTTTGTCATACCAGAATTCATAAATAAACCTTATTGCAAATGAGCATACGTTTTTTTTTCTCCATCTTTCCGAGGTCGATCTTTTCCCCTAGAATTTATGAGATGATTTTTCCTACAATTTAATGTGGATTATGAAGAATTCATGTTTATATTGATCATGACAAACTATTGGATAGTACCGGTAACTTTAAAAACAAGCCCCCAAGGCTATGATACTATTAATAGAGCTTTCCTAAAAGCTTAATGGCATTGATATCACAAACCAGGAAATACTCTGAACATGTGAGAGATTAAAAAACCTGGCCTTGGTCAGACTTAATGTCTAAAACACTTGTTTACAAGTGCTCCTTTGCGATGGGAACAAAAACAACAATTAGAGGACAATTTGAATTAATCCACATGACTTCTCCTCTTACCCCCCCCCCCCCCCCCCCCCCCCCCCCCACGACCCCAGAAAAAATATACTTATGAATGATATTAATGACAAATTGTCCTTTTTTATACATATATCTTTTTTTTTCTTTTTACCTCAAAATGTCATTATATAATGAGTTTGAAGTTTATTATCCAAAGAAAAAGTACATCAATATGTTCAAAAATTGGATGTGTCTAGATTTAAAAAAAAAAAATTGACTTTTCAATTTTTTTCTTCTTTTCAGAATGTCGATTTTATCATCCAAATTTGTCAGACCAAAGAAGATCGCCAGACCCACAGTTTAACAGTAGTAGCAGAATCAGTGAGTACCTGTACATGAAAATTGAAAGATGTAACATGGCGTCAGAATTTGACATGAATCCTTTATGAAATAATAATAATAATAATCCGTTTTTTTATATAGCGCTCAATACACCGATCCAACGATGTACCTAAGCGCTTTACAGATATATTATTACCCCAGTCATCGGAATGTGGTCTTGATGAAATTTTACTGAAACAGAGTGCGATGGCTCAGTGGTAGAACAGTGGACTTGTAACTGGGAGGTCCCAGGTTTGAAACCAAGTCAATGCACTTGTGCCCTTTGATATTAAAGGTAAAGACCAGTATTGGAAACGCCCCAATTTCAAAAAATGAAATGGAAGCTCTCATTACCAATCATGTGAAAGAATATGTTTTGACTAATACATGATGATAAAAAAATTGCCGGGAAACCACCTACTAATTCATATATTTGGTAAATTTGTTTCTCTCATGGTCTGTGAGAGATATAGGGTAGTCCCATATACATCTTTCTGTGTATAGTGCTTGTAACTTTACGAAGAATGGGCCAAATTTCTTATCATTTTGATGATTCCAGAACCTTGCAGATGCTAGATGCAAGATGATCAACCTTTTCTGATCGATTCCACAACGTTTCTTTCACAATGCAATCGCATGACCATAACTGGTCTTTACCTTTAAAGAGAAGGTTGAGTTCTGGGAAGAGGCGAACAATAATTTGAGAGCGTTATAATTGTTATTATGCAAATGTGGAAAAACATCAGATAAAACATGTTCCCTGAAAAGCATGGCTCTTCAAATGCCTTCATATTCTAAATATTGCATGTAACATCGTAAAAATCGGGACGGATTTTTACGCCACGTGTTCGTGTAGTCCCATATACATCTTTCTGTGTACAGGGCTTGTAACTTTACCAAGACTTGACCACATTTCTTATCATGTTGGTGATTCCAGAACCTTGAAATACACACGAATACTTATATGCTAGATGATCAACCTTTTCTGATCTACTCCACACCGTTTCTTTCACAATGCAATCGCATGACCATAACTCAATCTTATCTTTAAAGGCATTAATCTTCATTACCAAGTAAAACAGTATGAAACATAGCATCAGTGAAGCCCAGTTTGCATTTGTCAAGTGGTTTATTAGACAGGATGCAGATGAAACTGTAATGCATGAAAGAGACTTCCAGTTTATAGTAATACTAGACAAAAGAAAGTAAAATATTGCTGGGAAAAAAAATAGCGGCAGTTCCTTCTAATGACTTGTTTAGATATGACTCGGTAAACCATCGCAAAAACAACAACATGCTGCAGAGAAGGATTGGCAACTGCACGCAACAATGGTCTTTTATACATTCCTTCACTTAGCTCTGTTTTATAAGATACAAAAACGGGAAGCGGATTACACCTACATGTATGTCATTATATATATAGAAAAAAACACGCTTAAAGATAAACTCCAGTTCTGGTGAAAAAAGAAAATTAATTCTCACAGAATCAAACGAAACTTACACTGAATGTTCAAGATTACAAATAAATGACATGTGCCAAAAAATTTTGGAAGAAAATGTATACTGGCTGAGTAATGAGCATAGAAAGACAAGGAAATCAAGGTAGTACTAGCCCCGACACCATGTGTGTTGTCCCATATATAGCTTTCTGTGTACAGTGCTTGTTACTTTACCAAGACTCTGTCAAATTTATTATGATTTTGATGACTCCGGAACCTTGCAGTGCACACCAATACTTACATGCTACATGATCAACTGTTTCTGATCCTTTCCACGCCTTTTCTTTCACAATGCAATCGCATTACCAGTACTAAAGTTTATCTTTAAGGAGGATTCTGTTTAAAGGGTAATGAGGAAGAATTAAGAAGAAATGTACTGAAGAGGAAATGATTGCGGATTGTGTGAAACTTACATTTGTGGAGGATTAGGAAGGGGATCTGGCATTGACGGGAAAGAATGCAGGGAAGAGGAGTAGAAAAAGATGTTTTGGGATGGATAGTTTGAAGAAATGACTGTAGGAAAAAGAAATGGATGACCACAAAGACTTTAAGTTGGACTTAAATATGGCAGGCCGTTCATGCCACTGTTTTCTTTCACCATTTACTGGTATTGGTCTATCATGTTCACAAATCTACAGACTTTTAATTTTTTGATAGTTCATTATTGAAGGAAAAATTATTATCTAATGGTGAGAGATAACAGTGGCATAAATGGCCTGCCATATTTAAGTCCAACTTAAAGTCGATCTTAGTCTTTGTGAAACACTCCCCAGAGTAGGAACTGATAAATGAAGGTGGAGGCAGTTTAGTGACCTAAGACCAATCGCAGCGCTAAACGAAGTTAAGCTTTATAGAGCAATTGGCATTGGAACAAATTTTACATCACTCACGTACCATCTTAACATGTTGATACCCCTTTCTTCTATAAGGTGGAGCGGCAGAACATCAGAATGTCCCGGGATCACCGCGGGAACCGATGGGTTACCAAGGCAACCTGACGATACCTCCTTCAAACTCCAGCCCACGTCTACCGATGGATCTCTCAGCACAGCCAGGTAATTGTTCTGTCCGATAAACATGTCCATCTCTTTGTTTCTCTGTGAAGTCAAAATGGTGTTGAACACATACCCCTTGGGTTATTTATTTTGTGTAACTACCCATTTTATTCTTAAAATTATTGACCAAACCTGGGGCCCATTTCACAAAGCCTGTTTTCAATGACAAATGACTAAAATCAGTGACAAATCTGATGATAACCAATCAGAAGCAAGGATTTCAGTTGCTTTATAACACTGTCAATTGTCACTGATGACAAGTTTTGTGAAATGCCCCCCTGATGCATACATGTCAAAGATTCATATTCTTTATCTACACATTGTTTTATCTCATATTGCATCAATATTACACTGATTCCACCAGAACAAATTCAGGTTTTGGAAATCCATGTGATGTCTACTAACTGAAATTACTGCTAAACTTGGAGACCAAATTGAGGTTACCTGTTTTACAACTACCATAAAAATGTAATATGTATTTGATGCCAGTGATACTTTTGAGCATTTTAGCTAAAAACTGTCATAGTGTTTCCCTTGTAAACTGTCTTGTGTTTGTGATTCAGTGTTTTTAATGTAGAATTTGAATCAAGGGGTATATTATGGGAATATAGATGTATTTACTTTGCAAATCCTCCTGTTTGATGTTTTCGATTAGTTACAGCCAACCTTACTTTATTCTACATAATATATATTCTTTTGTCATGTGTAAAATTTGCAATGTTATGTTTGTCATCTATTTGTAAAAGTGCAAAAGAAAAAGAAAATCAAACGGAATTAAATAAATCAAATCAAATCAAATTTACATCATCAATGGAGAAATGCTAAGAAAGACTCACAATGATGATTTTTTTTCTTCTTCAGAAAAGTCCAACACACCATGCAGCGACTCAGGTCATAGTTCACCCGACACAGCAGAAGACCTCAGACAAGCCGCAACCAACAACCAAGCATCCGCCATCCACTACCGCCGTCAGAACGCGCCCCCTATGATCACCCTCACGTCGTCCAACCGAAGCTCACCCCAGCAGCGCATGTTCGAGAAACAACCCTTGCGACTTCCCGGCGGGAAAAACCTCCACGACAACTTCAGCGAGTCGGTGATGGATTCCTCTCAGGTTCCGCCGTCGCCCACGAAGCGGCTTCGCATGGACTACGGGCAGCAGGGCGGGGTTGCGACGGCGTTCCCGCACGTCAATACGGCGCACATCGAGCTCAGGCATCGCGCCAATACAGCTGAGCGGATGGAACAGCAGAGCGTACATCCTGGATCGCACCACAGCCTGCATCCTCAGACGCACCCGCGGCTTTTGGGACGACGCAGGTTAAGCTCCGATGATGGCCTTGCAGCCGGGAGAGCCACGTCGTCGTACGGGGTCGAACGGCACAGTACCGGTGCCCTGATTGGTATGGCGGGACTGTACAATCATGGTAATATACCAGCTATCCCGGTGCCTTGCTCGGTACCTAGCCTAGCGGCGGGGTCAGCCATTCTGTCAAGGTTGCAACAAAGGAGAAACAGCACTGGAGGAGCTGAAGGTACATGTAAGAGATGCATTCTATGGTTTAGAGCCGTTTGATCGACAACCAGTTCGTCTACTACCCATTTGGTCTATTCCCATATGGTCTATTCCCATTTGGTCTAAACCAAGCCCGTCTACTACCCACATGCTCTGATAATCATTTGGTCTAATGGTCATTTAGGCTAATAGTGATCAGTTTATGTAATATTTTATTGTTGTAGTCCAGGTAACTTGATCTGAAAACATTTGGAAAGGTCAGATAATATGACACTTCTTTCAAAAATGTGATAAGTTGGTTATAGCTTCCACCCTTATGTCTGGTTTTGATCCATCTGGTGTTGAATTTTGTTGATTATTTTCAAAACATGCAATATCCAATGATTTTCATCTTCAGCTCTATCTGCCTTAATATTCGTTCTATTCAACAGTTTTATATGCCCTTATGTTCTCTCTATCTTGCAAATGTAATTAGGCATCCATATTCTGTAAGAAAAAATATCAATCTATAAATAAAAAAATGGAGGCGTGATGGCTCAGTGGTAGAGCAGTGGTCTCGCAACTTGAAGGTTCTGGGTTTGAAACCAAGTCAATGCGCTATAGTGCCCTTTGGTACGGTATCGATCCTCATTACCAGGTCCATTAGAGAGGACTTAAAGTAGTTGGTCCCTGGTAGCTTACTTACAAGCACACACATGCTTTCTTAGCAGTCTGGGTAAAACAAACAAACCAACTGACTTCCAATTTTCAGCTGCGTTTCATTTCATTTCAACCGCCTCTCTCCACCCAGGTATAGGTGATGGCCTTGGGCAAAGCCCTCATCAGCATCCAGCGAGCATCTCATCGATGCCACGACGACGGAGCATGGATCCAGACGATGTCTTTCTCCTGGATGAGGAAGGGTTTGAGACTCGAAAAGCTGCAGGTAACAAAACATTTTACTTCAGATTGATGGATTGATTGTTTGAAAAACATACATTCAAAATAGCAGCCAAAGGCTAAAATAACTTGTATTAAACGCATCGTTTAACAATGTTTCCAGTTTTACAAATCTGAGATGGTGTAATATTGAAGCCCTTAAAAGATTGCGCTTCAAAAGGATCATGAAGTGCCTCAAAAAAGTAAAAATCTTTGAGCGACCAGTTTTACCATCCTCATTTTCCCCAACAGACTGTAGTATAATAAAAACCGTTGCGAAAACGGTTTTGAAATTTCGATTTCCAATCATAAACAGACAGGCGATCGGCTTGTAAAAGTCATGGCATTCCTGACTGACATGAACGTTTGTAATTATGATTGCAGCATGAGCTAAATCCAGGATTTTGTTTCAGAATCTGAGACAAATTTACCAGATTCCTTTAACATCTCATGTAAATTTTGTTAGAATGTATTACAATCATGACCTCAATAAAAAGCTTAGTTTAGTTTACTGTAACCCTCTGGCCTCCATTCTCTCACACAACGGCGCCTATCCTTTTTGTTGTCCTCTTCCTTTTAAAGATAAACTCGAGTTCTGGTAAAAAAAAGAAAATTAATTCTCACAGAATCAAACGAAACTTACACTGAATGTTCAAGATTACAAATAAATGACATGTGCCAAACAATTTTGGAAGAAAATGTATACTGGCTGAGTAATGAGCATAGAAAGACAAGGAAATGAAGGTAGTACTAGCCCCGACACCATGTGTGTTGTCCCATATATAGCTTTCTATGTGAGTGCTTGTTACTTTACCAAGACTCGGTCAAATTTATTATGATTTTGATGACTCCAGAACCTTGCAGTGCACACCAATACTTACATGCTACATGATCAACTGTTTCTGATCCTTTCCACGCCTTTTCTTTCACAATGCAATCGCATTACCAGTACTAAAGTTTATCTTTAATGTTCGATGGCAGAAAAACCACATTCCCAAGTGTAGAAGTTCCCATATACACAAAGCTGGCAAAATCCCCAACTCCGCTAAAAATAGCAAAATGCCCTTGTCAATAATGAAACCCACGCATGTAGACACACCTTGTGGTCTAGTGACGAATAGATGAGGGTAGATAAAACAAAGCTGGTCATGTAGCAAAGGTCGAATCATTTAAACAGGTAAAGTGCATGTTGAAGGGAGGGGAAGTCCATCCTGATATTAAGTTGGTTTTAATAGAAGCAAAAAAATGAGAAGAACAGGTCAGTGAAAGTTTTTAGCAAATTATGATTAAAAGTAGGAAATGTATACATTTTTGAAGTTTTCATCACTGAAACACAAATCATCAACACTGTTAGGTATCTTTCAAGGTCCTCTCCAACTTGCTTTGCACAGAAAATATCATAAACTTTAATTTTCTTTGTTATTGGTATAATTTTTTTCTTTTAAAGTAGAGTAGTTGTCCTATCAGAGGAGAAAATTTAATTAAAACACCTGCGCCCTGTAACATTTTATGTTTACAAATCTCAAATCAGAAATACCATTTATTTTCTTATGATAAAGTCCTGTCAAATATTCATTCTGGAATGCAGTTTCTTTGACTTTGTTTACATTATTTCTACCATTGTTTAATATCTGTTTGTGTTATTATTTGTGTTTGAAATCCAGCCTCAAGTTTTGGTTGCAATAAAGAAATATAATAATAATAATAATGATAATCAAGTACCTACAATACCCTTCACATTTCCATTCATTAAACAAGAAGTCTGAAGGACTAGACTATCCACCAACCTTAGTGGTAGATTACGCCAGACAGTTTTCCAGGAAGTCTGCATGGCATTCCCTTTGTCCTGTGGACATATCCTCTTAAAATATGTAAATTTGCAACAAAATTTGCAAACATAAAATCAATCTTTTTCAATTCAGTTTCAAAGAAACAATGACAGACAAAAGTAGTAGTGACGTAAATCGCATGAGTGGTCTGTTGTTTCATCTAAAACATAAGTACTTTATTAAGTATTTATTTTTATTTATTTTTAATTTTAAATAATTATTAGCATTATTATTATTATTATTATTATTATTATTATTATTATTATTATTTTTTTTTTTTTTGGGGGGGGGGGGGAGCTTTAAATAAAACATCGTACTTCTAATAGCAAGTTTGTACACAGTTACTAATGTCTGTAATTTTACAAGACAAGTTTCCAATCACAACTATAAATCCTATTCAATTCAAGTTTATTTCCACATTTGGTTAACAAAAAACAAAAAAAAACAAGAAAACCCAAGTTATGTATTCTTTTACCAACATTGGTCTTTTTTTTTTTTTGGGGGGGGGGGGAAGGATCTTTGCAGAAGTGAGTTTTAAATGACATCCTCTTTCAAATTATGATACAATTTAAGTGAAATGTTGCCATCAAATTTGGAGCTCTTAACACTTTGGGGCTCCCAACACTTCAGAAGGGGGCCTTAACTCAGTTTATGAGTCTGCTCTGAATAATGAGCTATCCAGCACTGCTCACTTTACATATACCTAGAAATTTGTGGTCAGGAAGGATCAAAATAAATTTCCCTTTCCTCTTTAGTGCTCCCGGCCTGCAAAAGAGATATCATTCCTAACTTTATGTCGCCAAGTTTGTGGGCAATATTCTGAGAAAAGCAACACAAAAACAATTTTCAGAAATAGGATGGGGAAGAATTAGTGTACCTTCCATTCAAGTAAAGTGAAAGTATGTCAAATTCTATTTTCCCTGACATTTCCTTTAATGATTTCGACTAAAGCTTCATTTAGATATGACTATCGCCGCTTTCACACAGGGGAAAGATTTGTTTAAGCTGATTAGTTTAAAGAGCTCAAAACTCAAAAAGCTCAAAAAAATCAGCTTTTACATACAACATCATTCACACACAGACAATTTCGGTGCAATCGTTTCAAGATTTACTGCACTTAAATGTGGAGTAGGGCCATTGTGTGTTAACTATCAGGCAGATAATTGGTCCCGGTCTTAGCTCCTCCAAGTTTCGGATGTACATCCGTTCACACACAAAATGTCTTGCCTCTTAATAGATACAGGCTTTTTATCTGCACCCTGCTCTGACGGTCATTAGATCGCGAGTTCGTATCTGTCCTAACATCGTATATTTGGACGGTCACACAGGGAAATTAACTTTTTGCTGTTTAGTTAAAAAGCTTTCAACTAAACAGCTTTAGATATGTTTAATGAATCTTACCCCTGTGTGAAAAGGCTGATGGTAGTTTTAGCTGTTGTTGTTGTTTTTGTTTTTGTTTTTATAATGATAATGTGTTTGTATTGCACTTCACATTCGCATTACACTGCACGAAGTCGCCATTCATTTACATGTTTTAAAAAAATGCAATGGTTACCACATTATAACTCATCAAACCTTTACATCATCTACATGTAGGTTTTTTTTGGTTAATCTTTGAATTTTCATGCCACTTCATTTCCTTCTGTTCTCTTTACAAGACAAACGGTGCTCCTTAATGTAAAAAAACATGGATTAGCAATATATGTATCACAAGATATCCTTTTCTTTTTTACTTTTAATGAGAACCTTACTGTCTGTGTATTTATATGTCAATATCACAAACATTTTATGCAAACTTTTAATTACATTTCATTGTTTTTAAGTGCTCAATTTGCCTTATCCACATTCAAAAGTGCCTTGAATACAATGTATTAGTGACATACAGTACAGTAGTGCAAATTATATGTTGTTAATTTAATAAAGTTTGTGTCTCAAAAGTTATGACTTATTATTACATGCACTTCATGCCTTGGTTGTACTTTTGTTATGTGTTAAGAGTGTTGAGAATGATACGTTTTGTAATCTTCTTTTTGAAACAGGTGGTGACTGTCGTCTTCTCTGGGACTTCCTGGTCCAGCTCCTGAAGAACGAGACCTACAAGCCCTACATCCGCTGGGAGGACCGACGAGAGAGGGTCTTCAGGATCCTGGACCCGGTCCAGATCGCCAATCTCTGGGGCCTGCAGAAGAACAGGACCAACATGACGTACGAGAAGCTCTCCAGGGCGCTCCGGTACTACTATAAGATGGGGATTCTACAGAAGGAACAGGGGCAGAAGCTAACATACAGGTGTGTAGTCCCACTCATAATAAATGATGCTGGATTTCTTGTTCATTGTCTTTGGCTTAAAGAGAGATGGTGGTCAGTTTCCATGTCATAATTCGCTGACACCAAACTTGGTGGAAATACCATGAATGGGTGTACAAATCTCACACACAGCAAGCCTGTGGTCCCATCAAGAAATACTCCCTAGTCTCTCGGAGAGCCTTCGGTTGAGGGAAATGCAAGATAATTAATTTTCCATATGGGCCAGCTGGTGAAAAATGCAGAGCATTAATACATATTGCATGTTGATCACTGAACTGAAGGTTATTCCTTGTGATTGACAACACCTGTTGTTCTTGGGTTAACACACGAATGGTGTCGAATTATTATGCTCTCCTGTTCTCTGTATGCCTTTGTCATAATGTCTCTAGGCCTGTCTTCACTATCTCGAGATTGCCAAATATCCAGCTATTTGAACTATCCCGATCGCAAACTATCCAGCTAATTTGCGTCTTCATCAGACCGAAGTAGCAATTAGCGGGATATTTGGTCGGGATTTTCATCCCAAGATATCTTGGGATAGTTTGCAAAATATCCCACTATTTGGCAAAATATCCAGCTATTTGTCCTGTGCGTCTTCACTAGACCGAAGATTCGCACTATGCCCTAACGCTGAGCAAAATGTCTTGAGCTAATTTCTCAAGGTCGAGTTTCAAGTTTCGAGGTCAAATCTCGAGCTGATGAAGACGCGATTTGTAACTTCGGGATTATTTCCCAAATCAGAAATAGCAGGCTATTTGGCAATCGCGAGATGATGAAGATGCACCTTATATTCCTTTATTGCTGAAGTATCAATAAGGTGATGTACCAACATGTTATGAATAGTTCCCTGAAAGCGACCCCTTGACAGAAAGGAGCCAATGTGTTAATCGTCGTAATGAAGGTTTAGAGTTTCTACCCAGATGTTCTAGTGTTCATCATCAGAGTTACTCAATGTTATTGCCACTCCTCTCTTGAAAAGATGATGTGGTATGGTTGGGTGTTTTTTCTTGACAGAATTTTTACCATCCAGTTTCGAATTTCTATCACCTACATGTAAGGATTCAGGTTTCTACAACGATTGCCAATAGAAAGATGTCAGATTTCATCATCATTTTATCAAGATTATGTGACTTGTTTTTGACAGTTTCCTTTAACATGACCCCTTGATAGAAAGTTGCCAAAGCATTGATTAACCGATATATCCTTTCTTTAATAAATGATGAGGTATGATTGTGCGTTTTTCTTTGACAGAATTGTTACCATCCACTTTCTCATTTTAAATTCAAATTCAAATTCAAAGTTTATTCAACACTCTTCATGAAAACATTTAAAACATACAAATACAGAATGGAATAATAAAAAAACAAGAAAGTGATAACAAATACAATGGCAATTTATAAGAGCATTTGGGATAGGCAGAAAGGAGGGATTCCTCATATGAAAGCCTACCCCTAAAAACACACATACAGGAAAGAAAAAAGAAACAAGAACAAAAGAACAGAACAAAAAAACAAAAAACGTACTAAAACATACTATCATGTACGATCAGAGTAAAAAAGTGTCAAACTTGCCCATGCTATTAATACTGATTATTATTCTTATTTAACTTTATTTATTTCTATCACCTTTAATATACTTTCAGGTTTCTGCAAGACCCCAAGGACATCGCCAACAGTCAACGCTTTTCAAAGATGGCCCGTAACAAGGACAATGCAGAACATTCCGAGGTCACGGGGTCGACGACCTCACCGATACATCACTTCTCGGCGACATCATCCACCTCACCACAGATGCTTTCATCTTCCCCTTTGACATCGGCATCGACATCGACGTCGACTTCATCGCGGTCATCGGCCATGATGTCTTCGTCAATGGCACCCTCATCGCTCGGTTCAAGTAGGGTGTATTGCCTGTCTACTCCCAGCCCACACTCTTCATCTATCCATGTCTATCCTGACCCCAAAGACACGTGTCAAAGTTCATCCCTAGGTCAAAGGTCGTCCGTTCACATGGCTTCGACGTCGTCGACCCCCTCCCCGTCTCCTCCTGAAGCTGCCGACGACCCTGTCGCCATAGCGACGCATCAGATGGAAGGCGTGTCCATGATGGCACTTGCGTCGCCGTGGCAAGGTGGCGCCTCGGGAGCGTCGGATACCAAAGGTCAGGGGTTAAAGGTCAAAGAGGAACCCAGTAGTAGATCGAACTCGCCAGACATGGTATGCTAGAGGATATACGGACCTTTGTCTCTCTGTAGTTGGAGAATGTGTACCATGACATCACGTCATAATGCAAATACAGAACAGTAACGAACATTGAAGTAAAGATCAGTATCGAACAGTAAAGAATGCATTAATATAGAATGTCTTATGTTTACTGTGTATATGTAATTCCTGTTGCCTTTGACTTTAAAACTAGTACCAAAAGTTTCAGGCCAAATTTGGATATTTAAATGATAATCAAGATTGTCTTAATTGTTCTGAATTCAAACTACCCAGCATATTTTTGATAGTAACTTGTGTTTATATCATTATTGACGTATCTCAGAAAATATTGATATTTCAACATGATCGTTTCGCTTTAGTGCACCACATCGAAAGTTCACATTTTAAGATCTACAATTTTTTTTTAATTGTTTGTTTGAAATCATATTGTTTTGCAATTTGATTTTGTAGGGCCTGCCATTATTCCAGAATGAATGTCCAAGCTAAGCCAAAGTATCTCATTTTGTTTGAAATTAAAGAATTGCGTTGCGTTCATCATCATCATATTCAGAGTAAAATTACTGCCGAGAATTCAAGCTCATCTTTTTAGATGAGATATTAGGAAATAGTTTTGAGCACTAAAAATCTTGTTTTAAGCTCATACAAGATTAAGACACTAGTGCCATACTTCTTTTGCAGTGTATTTATTTCCCTATTAGCAACTTAAGAAGCTCCTCTAATTAAGAGTGAACTAACATGTTAAACAGGAATCTTCTTTTTTTATCATATTTACAAAGCCATTTTGCAGCTCTGCTCAACCTAAATTTACAGAAGAAAAATTTTGTGTTACAAAACTTTTGCCATTTAATTTTGATTTCAGTTTCTGCTTTTGCAATTTTAGAGATAACAGTTGTTCAAATGAAACCAAGAATCAATAACGATACAATTTTGAATGGAATACTTATGTCTTCTTCCAAAGCTTACAATTCATGAATTTGTTTAATTTTTCAATATGAGACTGAACGTAGGTAAATTGCACAAGCTGTATCTCACATTAATTTTTCTCATCTTAATTTTAACAAGTTATAAGATGGCAATATCCGCATCGAAACAAATGACTACATGTATACCTATGAACATTATTCAAGGCGATTTGTTAAAACAGGTTGGCAACGTATATTTATACAGTTGCACGGTTGGAACACTACACAGCTATTTTGCATTTTAGGACATGAATTGCCTGAATTTAAGATTTTATATTTATTGTATTCCATATATATACACTCAGAGAAATTATTATTGTCGTAACCAAAGATTTATGTATTGTTTTGTTGCCTTTGTGTATAATGGATGGAGAAATAAAAGGGCGCAATCCAACCCTTGTAATACCTTTGCTGGAAAAGAAGCAGAAAAGTAAGAGAAACAGAGAGGTGAAAGTTTGAAATCGATCAGGCCAATTATAAGGAAGTTATGAATGTTTGAAATATGAGATCACTAAATCCATGCCAATCTCAGATTGGCGATTTGGTAAGTTGATAGTGACGTAGTCATGGGACAACTCTCTCATTAGTCATTTACAAAAATATCATTAATTCCTTAGATTTCTTTTCTTAATGCCTTCTCTCTTGGGGCACTACTCAAAATATATTATAGATAGCATATTCTTACAGGTCCTCTAAGAAGAAAAGCCCTCCTAAAATCCTGAATCAAACATTTTGAAAAATTGACAATTCTAATCATTTGTGTGTTGAAATAATGGGAAAATAGTCTAGCACTTTGTCACAGTGACATTACCAATTACCAATTGCCAATTTAAAATGCCCATACTTATAGTGATTACAACTTTCAAAAATTCATAACTTTCTTAGTTTTTATCCCATTTCATTCAAACTTTCACCAGTCTGATTGTCTGAGTTTTCTGCTTTCTTTTAGACTAGTTGTCTATTATTAAAGGTTGGATTTCCCTTGAATAAAAGCTACATGTACATGTACATCATGTGTTAAAAATAATTGTATGTGTTGTGCAGGTAAGAACCTAACCCTGAAACAGACACTTATTAAAACCAGGGTTGCAAGCTGAATACATGTATAGTTGATAGTGGACCTGTGATTTGTCACTGTGATTTAGACATACATGAATTGCGAGAAGTAAAGTTATTTTCATGCGCCACTTTCTCTCTCTCTTCCCATCTCGTTTCTGCTATTAAACCTTACCCCTCCCTCATGTTACTCTTTTCCCCTTATGCTCTCCCCTCTCTCTCTCTCACTCTCTTGCCTCTCTCACTTTCTTTCACCCTCCCCTCTCTCTTGTCTCTCTCTCTCTCTCTCTCTCTCTCTCTCTCTCTCTCTCGTCCTCTCTTTCACCCCTCCCTCTCTCTTGTCTCTCTCTCTCTCTCTCTCTCTCTCTCTCTCTCTCTCTCGTCCTCTCTTTCACCCTCCCCTCTCTCTTGTCTCTCTCTCTCTCTCTCTCTCTCTCTCTCTCTCTCTCTCGTCCTCTCTTTCACCCTCCCCTCTCTCTTGTCTCTCTCTCTCTCTCTCTCTCTCTCTCTCTCTCTCTCTCTCGTCCTCTCTTTCACCCTCCCCTCTCTCTTGTCTCTCTCTCTCTCTCCCCTCTCTCTTGTCTCTCTCTCTCTCTCCCCTCTCCCCCTCTCTCTCTCTCCCCTCTCTCTCCCCTCTCCCCCTCTCTCTCTCTCCCCTCTCTCTCCCCTCTCTCTTGTCTCTCTCTCTCTCCCCCTCTCTCTCTCCCCTCTCCCCCTCTCTCTCTCTCCCCTCTCTCCCCCTCTCTCTCTCCCCTCTCTCTCTCCCCTCTCTCCCTCTCTCCCTCTCTCCCTCTCTCCCTCTCTCCCTCTCTCCCCTCTCTCCCCCCTCTCTCTCTCTTTTACCCTCCCCTCTCTCTTGTCTCTCTCTCTCTCTCTCTCTGGATTTGAAAACTGGTATCCTGATTTTTAATGTGTTTATGACATTAATGAATCACTGAAATTCACCTTAAATCACAAATCTTTAATCTCAAATGTAATAATTTGTAAATATACTATTTTGACAGGGTGCAATACATGCAAATAAGCGTAGCTTTAGGGAATCTCGTTCAATTTGATAAGCAATTTGATAGTCAATGTAAAGATGATGCAAAAATATTTTGCAAATTTTGATCTTGATTCAATACACACCTGGAATTTAAGCAGCTGCTACCATTTATTTTTTCAAAGCTGAGCAAAGCTATTGAAAACTTCTGAAAATTGTTTAAAAAATGTTCTCGAATCATTGTAATGGAATTGGATTGACAGAAAAAACTGTTAAAGATTCACTGTGACTCGTTTATCTCAAAGTCGATGAGTTGCCAAAACCAGCAATCTTTAAAAATACAAATGTACTTCATTTTAATTTAAACACCCTCAAAAGCACCAATTCACAAACACATATATGCATATAAGGGACTACAGGTCCTATCGGCTCAATTTCCTCCATTTTCTTCACATATTATCACTTGTTATCCATTTTCCTAGCTGATTTGGTCGGAAGATATGTAAATGTAATTGTAATATTTAATAGAGACAGGAAAAAGGGTCAAAGATCTTGTATTCTTGTGATCGATCTATAAATCTGACGGAATTATACAAAAGCTCCCAGGAAAATATTCATACACAACCCAAAGATCTTTTTTCCTGACATGTTTGAACATTACAGTATAGCTATCCAGTTATTCTTTGTAAGACACACTTTTCTTTTTGTATAAAGGTTGAGATTTATGGGAACCTGAACAAACGGGGGGGGGGGGGGGGGGGGGGGGGGGGGGGGGGGGGGTCGAAACAAACTTACTTGTTATCTATAAGCTGGCAGAAGTGTGCAAAAAACTTGTTTTGGGGAAGATATAATCATACACCTCAAACATGTATAGGTACATGTGTCATGTTAGATTGTTGCTTGCTATAGGTGTCCTGTCTATTCCAGACATTGGCGATCAAGGCTTTCCATCTACATTGAAACTGTTGGAACCTGGCTATAAAGACCACCAAAGGGAGAAAAGAAAAGTGGTCTTTACAGGCAGATGGTCTTAATGTACAGGTTCCTTTAGTACATGTTTCAATGAGAAACTATTTTGAAGGGAAACAAAAAATGTGGTCTTTGTAGACAGGTGGTCTTTCTATACAGGTGGTCACTGAACCAGGTTTGATCAAACCTCTAGCCCCAGTCCTAGGTACTAGTTATCCAGTTATTCTTTGCAAGAACACACTTTTTATACTTATACAGCCTGTTATGGAACCATTATATAACAGGCAATGCAGGATAGAGTATTGCAAGTTGAAATAGACAGTAGATAAAGAGGGCATTGAATCTCATTTTTTTGGTAACAGAAATTGCAGCTAGGCACTGGAGAGGAAAGTGAAGAGAATTTTGAATATTAAATCTATGTCTGTACCCGCTATGGAAGTGGAAGATAGTGGGTCAGATTTTGCACTAAAATCGAAAACCATCTTTGATGTTGCATTCTTTATTTGCTGTTTGTTGTGTTCGTCCACTCATGACAAATTTGAAGCACTGTAAAATCAATCAGTTGTAAAAATCGTGCTATCGAACTACATGATTGTATGTTTGATAATGCAACAAAAATGGACACATAGGTTTTATGATGATGATGATGATGATGGTGATGATGGTGATGGTGATGATGATGATGATGATGATGATGGTGATGATAATGATGATGATGATGATGATGATGGTGATGGTGGTGGTGATGGTGACGATGATGATGATGATGATGATGATGATGATGATAGTGATGGTGGTGGTGATGATGGTGATGATGAAGAAGGTGATGATGATGGTGATGATGATGATGGTGATGATGGAAATGACGATTATTATTATAATTATCATGATGTATTTGGCGTCACCTGAGCCTGGGAATGAAAAACAAACTGAATCACTGTAACCTTTAGGCTTCTGGTCTCTCCTCCCGGAATAACTAATTGGGATGATGACGATGATGATGTGATGTGGTGATAATGTTGATGATGAAATGATGGCGTCGTCTTCTTTTCTCATTTTAATTGAATCTCGTAACATCTTCCCCCATCACTTTTTTCCACATCTCACTACGATTCCATTTATGATTGCTCCTTCTTTCTCTTCATCCTTCATCTCTCTCCCTCTCTTTCTTGATCTCATCTGTATCTCTCTCTCTCTCTCTCTACCTCCCACTCTTTCTGACATTCTCTCATTTTCTCTCTTTCACTACCTTTTTGTCTCTGTCTATCTTTGTCATTCACCCTTCATCCTTTCAGTCATCCTATCTCTCTTGAATCAAAGCCAAGACAAATGAACGCTAAAAGCGACATCCTTCTACAGAGCTTTATTTTCAGCGTGTGAATATCCTGTTCCTTTTCCATCTCCAGGATTACAGCGTAGGTCTTTTACTGAAAGACGACACAATCCTTTTCACTGTTTGTAAAGATAGCGGTTTCTAACAACGGTACTTGATTCCATTTCAGAAGTAGTTAGTAATCTTCAATTTGCTCTGTACAGAAATTTTTATAAACTTTCATTTTCTTAAAGGTAAAGACCAGTATTGGAAACGCCCCAATTTCAAAAAATGAAATGGAAGCTCTCATTACCAATCATGTGAAAGAATATGTTTTGACCAATACATGATGATAAAAAATTTGCCGGGAAACCGCCTACTAATTCATATATTTGGTAAATTTGTTTCTCTCATGGTCTGTGAGAGATATAGGGTAGTCCCATATACATCTTTTTGTGTATAGTGCTTGTAACTTTACGAAGAATGGGCCAAATTTTTTATCATTTTGATGATTCCAGAACCTTGCAGATGCTAGATGCTAGATGATCAACCTTTTCTGATCGATTCCACAACGTTTCTTTCACAATGCAATCGCATGACCATAACTGGTCTTTACCTTTAAGTTACTGATGACGAAATAGATTTGTTTTATACAGGGGTTATATAAAAAGCATATTTGAAATAATTGTATTTAGGCTGAAAGTATGATTGAAAATTTTCTCGAGGTAAAATATTCAGTATTTCCCTCGAACACTATTTTTCAACCTCTGCCTGTGAACCGAGTGAAATATAATATCACTTGGGAAATGTTAAACTTGTCGGTTCCTAATACATGCTTTTTTGTACACTGAACTCCAGAGCATTCAATATTTGCATGATCATATCCGCTAATAAATACAAAGCATAACTTTGTGGAGGAAATATCACGCTACAGGTATTTTCTTCACCACAGAGTTCAATCTACTTTCATAAATCCTAAACGACACCCTCACTCACTCTCATTCATGTAACTCGGAAATGAAACACACGTTTGGAAATGGAAATTTCATCACACTACATTTATTTGTATTTATTCACAGAGAGAAGATTGAAAGAATCTGTGCCTAAACTCAGTTATACAAGTATATACAGACTTAAAAGTGCACTTCAATTGACATACGATAGGTTGTACATCAAGCCTACACCATATAACGCACTTTATAATAAATATATCACATACAATGGATTAAAAATGAGTTGTTCATAATTGATGATGTATATAGTGAAATCACACTTTTCAAAAAGTACTGAGAATTTCTAATGCAATTTCTTTTAAATGCATGATTGCGAGTATGAAAAGGCTTATAACACAAGTTTCTACTTGTTATAGATTATTAGGAGATGCTTTACCAAAAAAAGTATTTATCTCTTACATATATTTTCACGGAGATATGAGAAACAGAAACGTGTAAGTACATGTAACATGCATATAACAGATAGACACTGATCTGGTACATGTATCTGTTTGAGTTCTCACAAGAACAAAACATGATTTCAAACATGACCCTCAAAACATGAACATGCTTTCTAAGTTCTTCTTCTACATTGATTCTCGGTAGACCGTTTGGTGTCTCGTTAAGTGTTTTAAACATGATATCTCTGATGTAAGGTGAACATCACCTCATCGTTTTTGAAAATATAAATTAATGAATGAGTAATAATCAAACAATTAACTAATTTAGTAATACATAAAACATGCATGTATACTAATTCCCTACATTTTGAACACCAGCAATTTTTGTTGCCACTTGTCCAATTACGTTTCACATGTTTTAAAAGTGTTTGTCGTAAGCAGCATTTGTTGTTACTTGTCCGATTGCGCTTCACAACACGTTTTTAAAAGTGCATAAATGTCCATACATGCATCAACAGACACTTACAGAATCCGTGCATAATGATTTTGTCCAATAATAACTATTCGCATAAATGATAAACACATTTTCTTTTCTACAAAGGGTGTAAATAAATTTTAACCTAGAGTTTCACATTTTCAGTTATTATTAATCAAAAGTATTATGATACCAGTATTTGCTCACGCTTTTCCCTGTTGCTAACAAATGTACAAAAGCTTTATCCAAAGTAAATTTATAAGTTCTAACTTCAAGGTCCCATCTTCCAAAGAGTTGCAAATTAACTGCAACCTAATCTGATGTTGGTATTAACACAAATTATCTTTACGAAAGAGATTGTAACCTTTAAACTGATTTGAATCGAACATAACTATTCATACAGCTGGGCCCTGTAGGCATTATAATATTATTCAATGTTCAATTTGATTTGGAAAAGACAAAAGCACATTTATCCATCATGATTTCTAACTTCTACATATTAACATACACACACCACCAAATATATTTCAGAATACAGATTAAAATTAAAAACAATGCGCAAGATTATATATCAATGGTCCATGGCAAAACTGGCAATCAAGATGCTTTCACATGTCCAACAGAAGATCGTGGTAAAAAGATATCATTCATTGATTTGATTTGATTTGATTTGATTTGATTTATTCATTAACCAGAAAGCAATCATACAGCTTTCTGTTCAAATTGATCTTACAAGTAATTTTAGCCTTCTGTAATCTCTGACGGATTATGAACCACACTCAGTGAAAATTGACTATTTATTTATTCGAGTATCAAGATTTGTTTGTACTTAAGTGAAATATTTTCTTTCAACGATGAAATTCATAGAGAATTAGGGCACATCTTGTACGGCCCAAACAAATGCATCTACTGAATTACCAAACATGATTCTATTTCTTATTCTTCGGCTACTAAACAGAGACTTAGTCTCATAAACCGAATTCATGAAGTCTACGACTATACAGACAGAAACACAATAAATGGAAAAGAGCTCAATTTCCCAACGTTTTAAAAAGTATAAAAGCAAAATCAATTAAAAATATGACAAAACCAAATGCCCCTTGTCCAATATGAAAATCATGTGATTCTAAACTCTAAAATCTCTAAAAACAACAGCTATTACACCGACACCAAATCAACTTCGAAGTGACATTTGACATAATGCCATCAATTTTAAAAAATTGCAACTTCCTCGCTGTAAATTCCCTTAAGGTCTACATATGGCACTCTTTTTTCTAATAGTAACAAAAGTAGAAACATATCTTGCATACTTTTAATATTTATCAGCCTTTGATAAGATGTGATACTTTAAAAAAAAATTCAAACACTGAATTGTAGCCAGCCGACAGTCATAGAGTGGAAGCAAAAGAGTAAATACATTAAACTATCCAGGGGGTGTTTCACAAAGATCCTAAGTAGAACTTAACTCTAAGTTGGACTTAAAAATTTATGGACAGCTATTGGAGTCTTACAATGAAATATATTCAAAAGCAGAAATTCAAGTATTTTCGACTTTTTATAAATTCCACATCCAGAACATGAAATCTCCTTGATGATAGAAAATATGAATGATTTGAATAAACAATTAATGCCTTTCAAAATAACTTTTACAAAATATTTTCAAAGATGCTAACGGCTTTCCATACTTTTTAAGTCCAACTTAGAGATAAGTTCAACTTAAGATCTTTGTGAAACACTCCCCTGCAGTGTTACTATCCTATTACATTGTAGAACCTTGAGTGGTATTATGTCAGAGAGTGGGAAGTAGAAATAATAATTATCAGTATTACCATAGTTCTGTACAATAGTGTTTGCCATCTGAATTGAGAGCTTCTTTAAATGCAGTAAAAAGAAAGAGTCTGTGTATAAATACTTGAGTTCTTTTTAGTCTAATTGTTGGAAAAGACTTTCAATTTTGTTGCTAAAAATGGATACTACAATCAATCACTATCTACCTGTTACACATTTTGAAAGCAACTAATTCATCAATTTGAGTTGATTTTGTATTACATAATATACTAAATGCAGAAATATCTAAAATCACTACCAATATTTCTATTGCAACATCAACAAGAATACTAGCAATGTATTAATCAGAATATATTTGCACTTTGCTACATACACTGTAGGGCCATATGAGGTAGAGGAAATACAGCATTGATAAACATACTGATTTTCTATCCCAAAAGAAATCATATTTTCACATTGAATTGCAAAAAGTCTGGCAGTTATTAATTGAGTTGTATTAATATCATGATTATCATCAGGAAAAATAGAGTTAATTTTGAATGAACTTGTTAATTAAGAGAGTTGTCAACTTGTTAATATTTTTCATTGAAAATGCATATGCAATGTTTTACAACCACCTGGGTTTAGAAGTATTTGTGCAAGGCTAGTACACCTAAAATTCACATTTCATATACAAAGTGTCCGTACATGGGATAATGATACATTAATAGGCAATTTTAGTTGGCTTTATTAATCATTAATAGGATAATAAATAGTGAAACACCGCATAATAATCTACATACGGAACTACAGGATGCAAAAATTATACCTACACCGTGGTTTATTTGAACTTTTTGTTTTCTGCTATACTCTTCCCTTTCCCTTGCCCGTTCTGAACACCATCCCCCTTCACGGCGTTCTTTGCCCCTTCCCCCTCGTTCATGGGATAATAAATAGTGAAACACTGCATAATAATCTACATACGGGACTACAATGCAATAATTATACCTAAAGTGTGCTTTACTTGACTTTCTTGTTTTCCGCTATACTCTTCCCTTTGCCGCGGCCGTTCTCAACACCGTTCCTCTTCACGCTGCTCTTCGCCCCTTCCCCTTTAACGCCGTTCTTCTCTGAGGCGCGGTTGAGCTTCAGCTGGGCCTTGGGGAGGCGCTCGCCCTTCACGTAGGCGTGGAGATAGAAGTTCGCAAAGAGGAGGAACATGGAGGTGGCGTAGCCGATGAGGCCGTATTGCATCCAGAGGGGGAACGGGCACTGGACATAGAGGGAGTTGATGGCGTGGGCCATGCCGAGGCAGAACTGGACCTAGAGGGAGAAAGGAGATGAAACATAGTTGTCAGCCATTGGACTTATACATATAAACCCACCGACAAAAATTGTATACTGAAGTTTGGTTGAATATATCTCTCTTAACCACTTGACTGCAGGCCACATATATGTAGTGGTCTCGCTCTTGTATGCCTGTGCGCACCACGTACATGTACGTGCTTAGGGCATATCTTTCAATACCGTAGCACTGCATACAGCCTAGCCCTACTATGTAATTAGCACTGCAATGATGTTATACAAGTCTTGAACAGTAGATGGCGCTCTTTCAAAAAAAAAAACTGGCCTTTTCGTGTACAGCGTACATTTTTTGAACAGTACAAAAATGCTGTAGCGCATGGGGTATGCCGCGCATTTTAAGCCTATAGCAGTCATGTGGTTAATGGGATAATTATAGCTCTGTTTAGTATCATTGGAAAGTATGTTTATTCCTCTGTAAGATGATACCCTATTTAAGCATGTGAAGAAAAAAACAACCCCAAATAACCAGATTTTCTAACCATTAAGAGGTTTACTCTGTGCATGTAAGAAACAATCAGTTGTAAAAAAATATTCTCCGTAAGCAGCTTTGGTTTCATCTTTTGGTTTATAATTAAAAATTTATTCAATTACTTTCAACAATAAATATCCAGCATTATCTACAGACCACATTGCCTAGTTTGTCAATACTCAACCCTGTTAGTATTGAACTAATGTATTCATTCTGGATATTTTATATTCATTATTATTTTCTAACTGGAAAAATTATACAGGCAAATAATTGAACGTCCACTTACAAATTGCAAGATGGTGAGATACTTCTTCCACCAGAGGTACTTGTGGAACTGAGGCCCCATGGCGGCTAGGCAGTAGTAGCTATACATCACTACGTGGATGAAGGAGTTCAGGATGGCTCCAAATAAGGCTGTAAGAGGAGAGGGAGGATGGTAGGCAAGACAAAAAATGTTATAATGATATTAATAAGAATAATTATAATGATGATGATGATAAGGATAATGATAATGATAATAATAACAACAACAACAACAACAACAACAACAAGAAGAAGAAAAAGAAAATGTTCTATGAGAATTTCAAGGTCCAAAAGCCACTTGAAATCAAATGTTCAAGGTGCAGTTGTGAAAGAAAATAAGAGATCACATGTAACTGATCAACAAGTTATTCATCGTATAAATTAAGTGATGTAGTCCTCTCATCATCATTTGTAACACTACCACTAACCACCACCACTACCATCAACACCACCAGCATGCACCACCTCCACTGATTTTGTGACCAATTAAAATGCCACAACTGTCAGCAGAAGTACCACTACCACCACTATCATCATCATCACCATCGCCACCACCATCCCTCACCATCACTTTCATTACCACCATCAATTTGTGATTGTGTTACCATCATTATCAATATCATCACCATTACCAATAAAACTGATACCAATTGTCAGCAGAAGCATCACCGTCATAACTATAAGCATCATCACCTTCACCTTCACCATCATCAACAACACCACCACCTCCACCAATTTTGTTGTCATCATCACCATCATCATCACCATCACCAATACAAATGGCACAACTGTTAGAAGCACCATCATCTTAACTATTAAACACCTTCACCCCCACCACTATTACCACGACCACTACCTCCACTTTCACCACCACCTCCACCACAATCGTCACCACCACCACTATCATCACCACCACCACCTCCACCACCATCATCACTACCACCACCACCACCACCATCATCACTACCACCACCACCATCACCACCACCACCAACACCACCACCACCATCATCACCACCATCATCACTACCACCACCACCATCACCACCACCATCACCACCACCAACACCACCACCAACACTACCACCACCATCATCACTCACCCTGCCCTCCGGCCACCCACTTGATGCCTATCCACCAGAGCACAAACATGGTGGCATGATGGTAGACGTGGAGGAATGTGACTTGGTTGTTCCTCTTCCTCAGAATGAAGAAGGTGGTATCCAGCATCTCAAAGAACTTGGAGAAGTAGAACCACCACAGAACTTTAGCGATCTGTACGGAAGAAAATAGTTTGATTAACGAGAAAAAACTATTTATATTTGCACACATTATTCAGTATTTGGCCCGGCACCTTTGTGGAGGCGAAGAGCAAACTGAATCACTGTGACCCTCTGGTTTCTCTTCCCGGTATAGAATTGACCATCGGTACATAAATGAATCATGATTACATAACTTTCATGAGCACATATCCAGAAATCCTCTCTGTGGGTTCTTACAATTTTGTTACAAATGACCTTTATCAGCCCATGCACAGATTGAATCTCTAAACTAGCTGGCTTATTAACTCTCTACTACAGGTCAGGAACCAGTTAGCTCCTGCATTAGTACGTGAATGAGATAATTCAATAGTCAACAAGGGTAACAGACAGCATTAAAATGAAAGATGTTTGATGACGATAAAATAATCAATTTCTTACCCTGTGCTCGTATTCCTCATAGCTATGGACAACTTGTTGACAGCTTATGCTGTAGCCTGCCTTGTACCCAGAGTATATACCCTGTTAAGATAAATTGATCACATCTTGTTCTTAAAATTGGCAACATCAATATTTTTCAGTCATTGCATCATTAAAATTAAGTGTTCTGAATACAGAACACTTTTCTTTTCTCTGCTGGTTCATACTTTTTAATTTTATATATATTTATGTTTTTGTAAGAAATAGAAATGTCAACATATTCATTCATTTATTACTTTCCTCTTCCTCCTCCTCCTCTTTTTCTTTTCCTTCCTTTTCATCTTCTTCTTCTTTTCTTTATCTTCTTCTTGTAATCATTATCATTTGGAAAATAATGATTATGAATCTCTCAACTTGTTGCAAATTTAAGGATTTAAAAACTTAAAATTCCTGACATCAAACTCAATATAGCCATCAAACAAAAATGAATGCAGTGTGTGCAGAAATGTTTGCCCTTTTTACTCATGCATCTGGCATCTCTTTTAGGGATCTGAATCTAAAGTTATTGAGCCAGACCCCAAAATGTGGAACAATTGTCACGAAAGGGTTAATTAAAGGTATAGACCAGTTTTGGAAACGCCCCCCTCTCAAAAAATGAAATAGAAGCTCTTATTACCAATCATGTGAAAGAATATGTTTTGACTAATACGTGATCATACAAATTTTGCTGAGAAACCACCTACTAATTGATATATTTGGTAAATTAGTTTATCTATTAGGATGTGATGGATATTACGCACGTGTAGCGCACATGTCCGTAGTCCCATATACATCTTTCTGTGTACAGTGCTTGTAACTTTACCAAGACTGGGCCAAGTTTCTTATGATTTTGATGATTCCAGAACCTTGCAGTACACACCAATACTTATATGCTAGATGATCAACCTTTTCCGATCGATTCCACAACGTTTATTTCACACTGCGATCGCATGACCATAACTGGTCTTTATCTTTTATATATTGGTAGATACCTCTATGACGATGTAACCTGACAGGAGAACGCAGGCGAAGTTGTAAAGGATCATGGAGTTCTTGAGTTCCATCGGCTTCTGGTTCTCCATCATCTTGGGCCCCGTCCGGATCATGACGAGGTATAAGGCAGTGATGACGAGGGTCAGGAGGGGGCTCTCCATGAATAACCAGTCCTTTACTCTCGGATCTGTAAGATAACAAACATTTAGTTATTACAATAGGCATTGTCATGTATTTCCCTCTCTCTACCCATACAAAAATACTTAAAGGGAAAGTCCACCCCCAAAATAAGTTTGTTTCGATAGAGGCAGAATAATAAGAAAATCAGGTGAGTGAAAGTTTGAGCAAATTCTTAATGAAAATAAGAACGTTATGAATTATTGAAGTTGTGATCAATCAAATACAAATTGGCAACTCTGTGACTTATTATACGAGCTCTCCTTCATTTGCTTTGTGCATAATATTCCATAAAATCATGTTTTCTTCGTTATTGATGACGGAATATATATTTGTTTCTTGCAGGGGGAGTATAGAAACATATTTGCAATTATTATATTTAGGGTGCATGTATGGTTGAAATTTTCTTGAGGGAAAATGAAAATTTTAGATTTTTTTAGTACTGAGCAAATGGAAGTTGAGCTCGCATGATACTTCATAGAGTTGCCAATTTGTGTTTGATTGATCACAACTTCAAAAATCCTAACTTCCTTATTTTTAATCGGAATTTGCTCAAACTTTCACTGACTTGTTTCTCTCATTTTTCTACTCCTATTAAAACTAACTTAATTTCAGGGTGGACTTCCCCTTTAAGGCAGCAATGACAAGGGACAAGGGTTGGGATTGGACTCTCCATGAATAAACAATCCTTACCAATCCTTTAAAGCCACACTGTCCTACTTGTAGCTACTTCTATATATAAAACAATGCCTAATCGGTGACCATTGGTCCCCCATGATCCTCTTTTTCTTATGTTAATTGAGAGCTGAGTTGATGAGATAACCACCTGTCCAGTGACCTTGCAGGGTAGTCTAACCGCTCCTATATACTAGTACACATAAGCTTTAATCTCGGATTTTGAAGAGAACAGACATTTGTATTAGAATCTAGGTATTTTAATGTATTTGCCTCTCTCTACTCATAACAAGATATTTAAAGGTAATACAAAGTTTTGGGAATTTTGAAAATTGGGTGGATACTGAATCTTTACAATTTTAATATATTTGGATGCCCCTGTGGATGTATTATAAGCACTAAAAAAATTAACCCCTAAAACACTTCTGTTTTAGAGAAAAATTGAATATACAAATTTACCGGTGCTCCCGGTAAATTTTGATAAATTTCAAATAGCGCCTACGGCCGTAAAATAGTAGCTGCAAGCATGAAAATCTCAGAATATGTCGTTGTGATATATAATTTCCAAACGGGAATAGCTAATCGGGCGATTTTAGTCAAGAAACATTGTTTTATAGCTAAAGTGATATTTTGACCTTGAGAGGGAGCTATACATCATAAAGAGTTTATTATTTATAATTTCATAACTTTAGACTCGATTTCAACCGGTACAACGATCAATGAATATTGTAGGAACGCATGTGCTTCCAATATGTTAATTTGAACCAAATTCATGACCCCATACCAAAACTTTGTATTACCTTTAAGGCACAAGAGTTGGTAGGGGACTCTCCATGAATAACCAGTCCTTCACTCCAAGGTTTGAAAGAAGGACAGACTGGGGGCATTTAATGAAACAATTAGTCAGTGATTTTCACCGACTAATATCATTTCACCAACAAGTCTATTGTCACCAACTATTTTCCAGGCCTCTGATTGGTCAAATTTAGTCAGCACTGACAGCTGTCTGCGGACAGATGAAACACCCCTATCTATTCATGCAGTAAAGCCTTTCTCGGCATGTGCCTTTCTATACATTAATTTATTTGATAATGTGTAATTCATGTTTTTATATTCTGCAGTTCATGACTTTGTGTACATTATTTCAACCATTGTTGTTATCTATCTGTTTGCATTGTCATTTATATTTTATTTAAAATCTAACCTCAAGTTTTGGTTGCAATAAAGAAAAAATAATAATCGTACTTACCACTGAACGTCAGTGTGTAGAGGTAGAAGTTGTAGGTCTCATTGGCCTTGTCCATCACGGCGTCCATCTTGGTCTCGCAGCGTAGGCAACCCCCGGATGAATTATGTTAAATATCCTAGAAAAGAAAACAAGAAGGAGAAAAATAAATGGCATGCATAAAGACGGAATCCACTAATGCACTTTAAATTATGTCCACCCGGCATCCATCTTGGTTTCACCGTGTTAGCATCCTCGGGATGATTTAGGTTAAATATTCTACAGAAAAAGAATGAAAGGGCATGAAAAATGCATCACGAAGGGATCGACTATACCAATGCACTTCAAATAGATGTTGTATTTCTAGTATGGATACAAAGGTTCTTCATAAGCTAGGGATGCGGATCGATGTTTAGAGGCCCCCTATCAAAATTGAAAGCTTCAGGGGATGATCGATGATTTAAAAAAAAAAATACACTGTTACCCCTTTGCCTACTGGAACCCGGTGGTCCCTGCATTCAGCCTATGAGAATGATAGAATTCAGTATTCATTACGTTTAAGGAGTTTAAAGATAACATAAAATGTAATTCAGAAGATTTTCATACCGGGGGTAGGTATTTCCTTATATCAAGTCTTGTCCATTACCCTGGAGATAGTAGTACATGTAGATGATGTCAAGGTATCACAGTTGAACATTTAAATCAATGATATATGGAAGTCTTTGGTAGAAGAAGGAGGGAGGGAGGGAGGGAGGGAGGGAGGGAGGGAGAGAGGGAGGGGGAGGGGGAGGAGGAGGAGGAGGAGGAGGAGGAGGAAGAAGAGGAAGAGGAAGAGGAAGAGGAAGAGGAAGAGGAAGAGGAAGAGGAAGAGGAAGAGGAAGAGGAGAGGAGAAAGGAAGAAGAAGAAGAAGAAGAAGAAGAAGAAGAAGAAGAAGAAGAAGAAGAAGAAGAAGAAGAAGAAGAAGAAGAAGAAGAAGAAGAAGAAGAAGAAGAAGAAGAAGAAGAAGAAGAAGAAGAAGAAGAAGAAGAAGAAGAAGAAGAAGAAGAAGAAGAAGAAGAAGAAGAAGAAGAAGAAGAAGAAGAAGAAGAAGAAAAAGAAGAAGAAGAAGAAGAAGAAGAAGAAGAAGAAGAAGAAGAAGAAGAAGAAGAAGAAGAAGAAGAAGAAGAAGAAGAAGAAGAAGAAGAAGAAGAAGAAGAAGAAGAAGAAGAAGAAGAAGAAGAAGAAGAAGAAGAAGAAGAAGAAGAAGAAGAAGAAGAAGAAGAAGAAGAAGAAGAAGAAGAAGAAGAGGAGGAAGAAGAAGAAGAAGAGGAAGGAAGAGGAGGGGGGGACAGCAACAATGATGAAAATAATACTATTACAAAAATGGCAAATGACACAATATATGCTGGTAACGTAGGTTGTGGACAGCCAGACTGACTAAAAGGGATTATTATTATGAATAGTGTCTAGACCAATTAATCACAGAAAGGGAAGACCAATTATGTACCTGCAAATTTCTATGGCCCTATAATATATGAAATCACCATGCAATATGCAGGGAAACTTAAATATAAAGACCGCTCAAGGGAAGTGGTCTTTATAGGCAGGTGGTCGTTATGAAAGGGTTTCATTAGTACAGGGTTCAATGAGAAAACATTCTAAAGGGAAAACAGAAGGAGGAGGAGGAGGAGGAGGAGGAGGAGGAGGAGGAGGAGGAGGAGGAAGAGGAGGAAGAGGAGGAGGAGAAGGAGGAGAAGGAGGAGGAGGAGGAGGGGGAGGAGGGGGAGGAGGAGGAGGAGGAGGAGAAGGAGAAGGAGGAGAATGACAGCAACGATGATGAAAATCATTTTTAAAATGAGAAGAAATAGAAGTTACAGTACAATATTACTATACATGTATAGACAATGACAAGATTGCTTTCTTATCAAGTACACAGCACTTGTAAAATCAAGTCTAGTTCAACTTTTAGAAGTTAAGTACCTGCTTATAATATTTAAATGATCATCTACACAACTTGTATGATCTTAACATTTTGAAAGCATCATTATCAAGTACTCAATGAAGGTCAAATATCAAAGTATAATTGAGGAAATACTTGCCATCATACAAAAAAGGCATTTAGAAGTGTATCAAACACCTACAGAATAATTTGTGTAATGCTAACTTGTATAAACAAACATCGACTTTTAAAAACTTCTCATTCGATGAGCTAATGGATGAGAAGGATAATTTTGCCTGTGAACGGATAATTGCAAAGAAGGTTAGTTTCTATTAGGCTAAATTTATCCACTATCGGTGCTATTAACCGGATAATGGCTTCTAATAGAAACACGCTGATAGCTTGTAACATAATACAAGCACTAATGGATGAGAAGGATAATTTTGCCTGTGAACGGATAATTGCAAAGAAGGTTAGTTTCTATTAGGCTAAATTTATCCACTATCGGTGCTATTAACCGGATAATGGCTTCTAATAGAAACACGCTGATAGCTTGTAACATAATACAAGCACTTGAATAAGTACATGCAGTACAAGGCCATAATTTATTACAATACTTAAGGTAAAGCAATGTACATGAGTAGAATAGGACAGCTGGTATTGCTTTTGCATAATTCTTGTCCAAGGATTGGCCCAAGATCTAAAATCACAATAGGTCTGTTTCCATCAGCTCGAGTTGGCCAAATAGAATCTTCACCAGACCGATACGCTCATCACAAACTAGCTTGGACGGGCGCAAATTACCCCGCTATTTCCCAATTAGCAGGATATTTGGAAACAAGACCAAGATTTCTCGGGATATTTTCTCAACCAAATATCCCGCTAATTGCAACTGCCAGCTGATGAAGACGCAAATTAACTGGTTAATTTGCCATCGGGATGGTTAAAATAGCGGATTATTTGGCAAACTCGAGCTGATGAGGACAGGCCTAATGTTTCTGACTTCTGAAATTCATCAAAAAACACTGTTTTAAGCACTAAAATAAAGACTTTATTTTGCCAAATAACAAATGAAGGAGACTCTTGAGTTCTGGTTAGGTCGATGGAAAATTTGGTCATGACCATTGTTTTCATTTGAGAGAACCTCATAATTTAAGAGTAGATTCCACTTTTCAATGTAATGTACATGTACATGCAATGGAAACCAATACACATAAGGCAGTGTCGCACAGAAAAATCCCTTGAAAAATCCTTTTAAGGGAGAATTTTTTTTGCTTCGTTAAAGGATTTTTAATGGGATAATTGGTGACAGACAGCAATTAAGAGGATAACTCAAATCTGGATAACTCAAATCCAGATAACTAAAATCCAGATAACTAAAATCCAGATAACTAAAATCCGGATTTTTGGCCCGTGTGTGACACCGCCTAGTGTGCTATTGTCCCAGACTTTGATGGATATTGTCTCAAACAAGTAGCCCAACAAATGTACCTGTAAGTGAGCTTTGCAAAAAATCTTACATTATAATACCGTAATACAGTCTCAATTTATGTGGAAATATGTATAAATATATTGGAAAGTTTATATGGTGGAGCTATCATTACACAGTGAATATTACTGGTACCAGCATGCATGTAAAACTATCAAGTACTAGTACTCAAAGAGGCTGTTCACACCGGCAGAGATAGCGCGCGCTAGACCGCGCTATCTCTGCGGTTTGGAAGGTACAACGTCGTTTCGGTCCGCCCAACAGCGAGCCACGGCGAGCCAAAATGGCGTGCCACTGGAGCACCTCTTGAGGGTGGTCCACGAGAGATAGCGCAGTCTAGCGCGCGCTAGAAAAAAGGGGGTGCTACGATAGACCACGCTATCTCATTGCGGTGTGAACAGCCTCAAAGTCTCTCTATTTTTGTCATGATGTTATCATAGTACTAAAACCCATAAATATTAAAGTTCCCTTTAAGTTGAAGAGTATAACATTCTGCATGCATGTACTATTCTCATTGTTTTTAAACCAAAGTTTTGTCAATGAATCTGTTTCTCAGGACCTATACAGCATTTTTTCATTCAAATAAATATATAAACTTTAACAAAAAAGTGTCAGCAGTATTATGATTTTTATCTCACTATTAACAGAATCAACAATGAATGGTCAAATGGCTGAATTCTATAAAAGTAAATCATTCAGTGGTCCAAGAATTACTCCAGCTACGATAGACCAACATATTCAAATTTGATGCACATCTTATAAACAAAGGTTGTTCTTCACAACCTGAAAGCTTGCCTGAGTCTTACCCAACACAGCAACAAGTAATGCATGCAGACTGGATTCCAAGTACTGTAGTTCATTCATTAATAACAGGTTAATGGAATACCTCATCACGAGGTCCCTAGGAAAGAAACATCCATAAATTTGAATGTTCATAAAACGGTCTATTGCAGTGGATCTGCACTAGCTGGATCAATTGACACATGAGCATGTACATGTACATGCATGTATCGTACAATCAACTCATTCACAAACCAGGATCTGCACATACAGTGTAAAAAGTTGATAATAGAATATGAACTTGAAAATGACCTTGTGTGAAAAGATGTGGGTGAAATACCACAAGCAATGTCTATTTGCTAACTTGTCAGCGTTCCTATACAAGCTTCCCATTGGCAGTTTACCTAGGGATCTGTATTTGTTTGACGATTAACAAGTGTAAAGCAAACATGACCATCAGGGTGGAACAAGGAGAGCAAAAATAAATCCTGAGTGATTTTGTTTGAAGAGTGTACAGGGTAAGAATAGGTGAAGTGTAAGAAAAGGTGAACCAGAAAAAGAACAGTTTTAATTCTATACACTTTCAAATGCAAGGGTCGCAATTTTTTATAAAAACCTCACCCTCTCTCTCACCACCTCTCTCTCTCTCTCTCTTTCTCTCTCTTGTTTTGTCTTTCCATCCATATTTTTCCCTCTCTTGATTTCATTATGCTTCCATCTTACTCCCTTTCACTCGCTCCATTGCAGTTGGTTACTATCCTCAACTTCCCCCCTCCCAGCTAAAGGACGATTAAGTAATTACATTCAACTCATAGCTTTCAAATGTCAACAACAAAGCTGTTTTTTTTAATTAACTCTTACTGTACATCTACAATCATGAGTAACGTATTTACATTTATACCAAAAGGAATGTGAGTATCAAACTAGTATGCTCCCTAAATCTGTAAAGATAAAACTAGGCCACCGTCAGCGCCTGACTCAGTGCCGCGTTAATAAGACGCAACATCGTAGCTTCATGGTTATACAATGATACATAATTGATCTGGGCATGCACGCCGAGGTGATGCTGTACTCGTTGAGGATCGCAATAGGAATATTCATTAGTATAGAGGCGCACATGGCAAAACTTTACCTCGGAAAGCAGGCAGCGGTGCATGAATTTTGACTGAGAACACAGAGCAGCCACAAACCAAACCCCCCCCCCCCATTATTTATTTCACTATAAATCGGAACTATATAATAATAAATAAATAAATAAGTTGGTCTTTATAATATTACTCTACTTGTATCACATGGAGGAGCGATAGCTCAGTTGGTAGAGCAGTGGTCTCGTAATCCAGTGACCTGGGTTTGAAACAAAGGCGATGCGCTAGTGCCCTTTGGTAAGGCATTAATCCTCTTTACTATGTCTCTCCGAGACGGGACCTAAAGCCGTCGGTCCTCTGGTTGCTTACTAACAAGCATTTATGCTTTCTAATAGCAGTCAGGTAGAATAACCACCACTGTACAATATAATACAAGGATAGAAAAGAGAGAAAGACACACACAGAGAGAGAGGGAGGAATAGGTGAATGGGAAGAAGAGGGAAGGAGAATGAGAATGAGAGAGAAGGAAGAGAGAGAGAGAGAGAGAGAGGTCTGGAGAAGAAATTTGGAGTACATGAATTGTATGTGAAAATAGGTCACACAACATACATGTAGACCTTTTGGAAAGCCACATACAAGAGGCCTATAAAGCTCTTGTGATATATACATGTAGCCTAGATAGCAGATAGAACGCAAATAATAAACAAATTCACAAACCAAGAAAGTTGAAACCTTGAACTTCCATATTATAAAATATATCAAACGACATTGCTTGATTTACATCATAATTAAACCAAGTCCCCGTCTTCGCAGTACTGAAATACTAGTTTTGTTCTTTAAAGACATTAAACACGTCATATAGAAAGAAAGAAAGAAAGAGGGAGAGAAATTGAATTTGTGAGACAGGGATCGAGAGGGAAAGGAAAGGAAAGAAAAGAACAATTTTAATAACATATTTTACGACTTAAAATTGTCTGCATGCTGGAATTGAGATGTAAATTATGATATGTATATGTATATACATCACCATGCAAGCCGACACTTACAAGCAGCATCTAATTATGATATGGTACTGAAATACGTTACAAACATAAATTTGGCAATCTGTAATCAGTAAAGTTGAGTTCTGATCATGCGATTGCAAAGAAACGTTGTGGAATTGATCTGAAAAGGTTGATTGTCTAGCATATAAGTATCAGTGTATCCGTATCGATGGAGTCATCAAAATGATATTGGCCTTGTCTTGGTAAAGTTACAAGTACTGTACACAGAATGATGCATATGGAACTACACAAAAATGTGGCATGTAAATTGTTATGATGTTACATGCCATATATAGAATATCAAGGCATTTGAAGAGCCATGCTTTTCAGGGAACATTTTTTATCTGATATTCTACCACACTTGCATAACAATGATAACGCTCACAAAGTATTTTTCACCTCTTCCCTTTTTTCAACTCAACCTTCTCCTTAAAGGTACTATGTCCCATTTGCAGGACAAAAAAATGAAAAGTTTACATACCAACGGCATTTGAAAGATAATACTAATTTAGAACTTCCCTAAAAAAAGGGGCTTGAAAATGTCCTTAAGTGGGAAAATAATGACTATTAGTTGTCGAATCGACTTAAGAGCTATACAAGCCAGTAAGTAATAGTATGATTTTCAGACCATTGTACTGAATGGTCGTACGTTTTATGCTGCGCAAAGATTCATTCAGTTTAATTTTGGCCATTACAAGAAGTGGGTTATTGATGTAGACAAATGCTCATATACATTTACAGCTCATGTTATTACCAAAGAAAAAAAAAGTCAGCAAAAAAACGGAACAAATACGGCAAAAACAGAACAATTGGCATCCCTGCACGATGATTGACATGATGAAACCATGCACAAGTCTCTCGTTCTCTATTTATTCTCGCTCAAAAAAATCAGCATGTCGAGATTTTCTGGCAGCAAGCAGCTCCGCTTAGCGGTGACGATGCTGCCCGCTGCTGAAAAGACTCTTTCCGATGGCACAGACGTGGCAGGGATGGCCAGGTACTTTCTGGCAAGTTGTTGCAACAGCGGAAACCTCCCATAATTTCCTTGCCACCAGGTGAGTGGATTGACCGTTAGCTGGACTGGCATTTGAGAAAGAAACTCGTCGTATTCCTCGTCCGCGGATCTCTCCCTCGCTGGACCGGCAGTCGTGCCCATCAAGAAGTCGATACCTAGTTCGGGATCGGCGGCATCCTCGTCATCTACATCAGGCTCGGCATTGTCACGGACCTCCTGGAGAGCCTCGAGACATCGGAGTAATTCGGTTCTGATTTTTTCTTTGTCAGCCAGATGGAGGAAGTTCAGGTCTTTGTAGCGTGGGTCGACTGCGGCGCCCATGGCTGCCGTTCGAACATGGTAATCGGGCTGACGGAACAAGCTCTCCAGCTGGTCCCGCGTCATGTCCTTGAAGTTGCGGATGACTTCTCCGTCATCCATATTGACCACGAGGTGGTTCTGGAGCAACCCAGATATGATGGGGTGGACAACGGAACAGCTCAAATTTTCCTCAGCAGAAAGGACAGCAGCTGCAACCTACAGAACAGAGTGACAAAATATAGATTTTTTTTTATTTCTGGCTAATTGCGTAAAGTATCGTGAATATGCATTTTCTGTATTCAAATTGCAACTCAAATTTCTTTCTCAAATATGATTATACTTGTACTTTAAATTATCTAAGGTCTTCATATCTATAATTTACTGTGGTGATTTAATTTAATTTGAATTTGAAAGGAAATCATATATTTAAAAAGAAAACAATCAAAGTGATATAAAGCCTGTCTGCACTATTTTGGCCAGGAGGGGTTAGCCCTCCCTGCAAGGTCACTGACAGGTGGTTATCTCAGCAAATCAGCTCTCAATTAACATAAGAAAAAGAGGATAATGATGGACCAAGTGGCTTCAGTACAGTAGTTCAGTCCCGCTTTAAAAGACAATTATTTAGGATAAGATGAAATGTCAACTGACCTTTAGTGGCTTCAGGCAGGGAATAAACGTCTCGGCCAGGGACCACTGGTTGGCCGTCATTTCAAGGTCGGTTGCCTCTGCCAGTGTCGTAACGTTCCGGTCGCTTAAGACGCAAGAGATGGACCAACGAACCTCGATCAACCGCTCTAGCATGTCCAGTACCGAGTTCCAGCGGGTCGCCACGGAAGAGACAAGCTTTTTCTTTTGTTGCCCCTTCGAGTCTTGCTTCATTTCTAGAGCCTTTGCAGCAATGGCGCTGTGCTTAAAATGACATACAAGTCGATTGGCAGCTCTGATCATAGTTGAGATTTGAAAACTGCTCTCTATTCCTCGATTTACCGCCAATTGCAGCGTATGGGCTGCACATCCGACATCGATGACCAACAATGCATCCATCCCGATGTCTTTCATGTTTGTCCCGTTGTCGTGAACGACGGCTGAAACTTTCTCCAGTAGCCCCCAGTCCTCAACGACTCGCCTCAGCTGGTCGGCAAGCATGACCTTGATGTGACGATCAGGGATGGTGCTGCCTTCGTCGTCGACGGCTACTACGGGTGATGTCTCGAGTACCAACGCGTGGCTTTGCCATTGCTCATCGACCATGTGAGCTGTGAGTGTCATGTACCCCTCTTGGGTGCGCGATGTCCAACTGTCGATTGTCACAGCAACCGAAGCTGCATTGGTCAAATCCGCCTTAATATTTGCCTTTTTTGTGTCATACAAAAGGCGGAGTTGTGAAGTCATTGACTTCTGACTAGGAGCCGTGTACTCTGGTTCAATGTAACGAAGAAGCTCTCTAAAACTTGGCTCCTCTACCATACTTATCGGCAGGTTGACTTCTCCAATCATCGACGCTATCAGCTTCGTTATTTTGGATGATCGCGGAGGGCTGCCCGTCTCCTTTCTCATTGAAGTGGGCATCTTATCTTGGTGGGACCTTGGGCCAGTCGTGCTTCGTGATACATTGGGATGCTTGAAGTTTATATGAGAAATCATACTTCCCGTTGAATGGTGGTACGCTAATATAGTGTTGCAAATCTTGCATTTCGTTTCTTTGTCATTTAATTTCTCGAAGTGATTCCACACGAAACTCTTTGCCTTCGGCATGATGAAATGATGAGGAATGAGGGACTTCTGGCTAGTCGTACTTCGTGATGCTGTGGAATCACGAGGACTGTTGGACTTCTGGCTAGTCGTACTCCGTGATGCTGTGGAATCACGAGGACTGAGGGACTTCTGGCTAGTCGTACTCCGTGATACCGTGGGATGCTTATGGGTCAGATGATTACTCATACTCCCAGGTGAATCATGGTACGCCAATATAGCGTTGCAAATTTTGCATTTCGTGGCTTTGTCATGTAATTTTTCAAAATGATTCCAAACGAAACTCTTTGTCTTAGGCATGATGAAATGATGAGCAACGTCTTTATCTCTTCAGCAGAAAACCGAAATCTGCTGTCAGATACAACTGTAAAGTAATAAAAATAACCTCTCACCAATATAAATATATAACAACAAACATCCAAAAAAGCACTGTCAAACACAAATAAATCCTCTCTCCTAAACCTCCCAACTTAAAGTAGCAGAGCCCTAAATCAATACAACTGACTCAGAAGATGTCCAGTGCAGGTCTAACTGTCTTTATTTGTAGGCTGATATGCAGCAGCATATTTAACATTTTTAAGCAAAGTAAATGAAATACATCATAATTTCATAAACCAATAGCAAAATAGGATTTAAGAGTAAGACTGAATATTTAAAAGGAAAACTAGAAAAGAACCAATGATAACTTTGATAAGTAAGAAGTGGAAATACCTAATGCATTTCCTACTAGACCATGAATAAAGAATGAGAAGAGAACAAAGGAACATACCAGGTGAGATGGAAGACTTGGTATGTAGAGGAGATGAATGAAGAAAGAAATTGGGCAGAGTAATTGAAGTAAATGATTATGTAAGTGAATATTAAATTAAATGATGTGAAATGATTATGTATAGAGAGAAGAGACTGAAGAAACAAATGGTAATTGTTACAAATAAAATTATGGAACGAGTCTAATTTTAACTCTTACACTACCAACAAGGCAGTTCTGGGAAAACAGCAATATTGTGATTGGCTAGCGGTAGTGGGGTTACATAACAAAAACTAAGATTTCATACGCTCAGCCTCCGACCTCCGTTGTGCATGTGCTCATGAATATGCATATTGATTTCTGGGAAAGCACATGTGCTGTGTGCGGACCCGATCTTGTTTTGCCCTGGCCGCGCGCACCCATTCTCGCTAGCGCTTGCGATCTACATAATTTCTCTTGTTCACGGTTCATCATGCGCTTGCGTTTGCCGTGGCGACTTTTGCGTACCCCGTGTGGTTAGTGTTGACCTTGGGCCGAAGTAGGGGAAGAAGCACATCGCTAGCAAGGTTTATATTAGTTGTTGAAATGATTTCAAGAAAGCATGGTGTGTCTTACTTCAAGTGTGTTTGTAAACCTTGTAGGTAAAGACTAAGATTCATATCCCTTTTACTCATACACAAGTCACTGCGTGTACACGGATACGATAAATAGTACATGTGTAGTTGTTGAACGTATGAGGACACGGAACAGTCCTCTCCGATCGAGATTAATGACTTGCCAATGGGCACTAGCATATCAACATGGTTACGAGACCACTGAGCCATCGTGCCTCCTCGAGAAGAGAGAAAGAGAGAGAGAGAGAGAGGAAAGGAAAGACTATAGGAGGTGAGAGGAAAGAGGGAAGAGAGGAGGAAAGGTATACATGTAGATAAAGGAGGGGAGGGGAGGAGAGAAGAGGAGATTTAAGATGAAGAAAGGGGATGGGGTTAGGGTTAGGGTTAGAAAGTGTATATCATAATGACTTTGTTTTAGCAAAAATACTCCAGAAAAGTTTTGTATTAAAGATTAAATTTAACACAAAAGAGGTTAGAAATATAACAAATTTAAAATCATGACCATGGCATTATTTGAACAATTGATGGGGATTAGTTGATTTTTCAGTATATGTATCTCCACGCCAGAGTTACAGGACAAAAATGGATATACAAAAGTACACTAGCGCCACAAACAAGAGGCACCAATTAGTGCAAAAATTCTGATCTGATTTTACAAAAAATATATGCACAAATATAAATTAAATGATTAATGTAGAGGTGTTCATGACAAACTCACACACCAGGCCAAGACTCTGACCTGGTGCACCCCTCCCCCTCACCCAGGCCTAGCTAGTGCGGCACCAATGCACTGCACTGGTAGAAATAGCCATGTGGATTCGAAACAAAGCATACCTCTCATACCGCGCCCCGCCCTGAAACCAGGCGACAACACTGGCTATCTCACACTCACAGACAGTCACACCTCTCCGAGTTCCCTGCACGCTCGGTATCTGGTTCGATTCCTGAAGAAGCACCAAAGCGGCTTCTTTTCAGTCTCTGAATCACACACGGTACCTCACTCATTCACAACTCCCTTTGAAGGAAATTCCGTAAAAACCTTAAAAGACCCAGGTCGGTAATTAGAAGAAACATGCGAACAATAGAAACAATTAAATTACCTCTTTTTAAATCCTCCGGCTTGATCCGACCAGGGCTTGTAATTGATCCGACTGTCAATACAGACCTGTACGTACAGGTGCAGCACATGCATCAGGGATTCCAATCGCCAATTATGCGACCCGACCCAATTAGACTAGTTCATTATAATAGAAGGGGTAATATGTTTCTGAGCTTTATGTTTATTTGTCTTCTCTTCTTTATTTATACAATAATTTCTAAAAATTGATATGAAAATTTTTATCTCAATTTAATTTAAATTCTAATTGTATAACTTTTTTGTAAATTTTTGGATATCAATCACAAAATATGATGATGAATCCTTTTGATGAATAGTTTCACCTAAATGGGTCAAAAGTCAAGATGGCCTGGAAACACAACGCACCTATTTGCATATGTATCATCCGTTATTCGTTAGCGTCCGAGCTGCTGTGCTGTGGACAGATCGTAGCAGAAATACATTCTTGTATTTTACCAAAAGGTAATTTTCCAGTATGAATTTGGAGTGTCAATGGAATTCGAAATATAGATCTGTGAGGAGAATATGTGTTTGGTGTTGTGGCATGTAACTGTGTAGAAAAGAGACGCTTTTTTGCCGCAGAGAATGCAGGAATCTCGGCTGTAACTAAAAAACCAACAAAGTTTGCAAGGTATGGGACCATGTTTCTGAAAGTGGACCCAAGTTGCAGTTGTAGATCTAACATCTACATCTAAGGTGGTACTGGACAGGAATTGGTATATACGTCCAGATTTCCGTGGCATCGCAAACTGTCAACAAACATCACAACTGATGCAAGGTTCAAAAAACAAAATAATAAGGTGCTCATAAAATAGAGTGGGTTGTAAGTTAGACATCATCTAATTTACAGATGAAGTAGAGCCACTCGAGCCTTTGGCTTTGCAGCTTTGATGGAATTGCACGTTGCAAATAAATGTATACATAGATCTAACTTGTTAGTCATTTATTGATGGAGGAAGTAAGTGAGGTTAGATATTAATCATGTCAATTCTCAAACGTTATTGAAAAATGAATCGAGTTGGGGATTCGATTCATTTCATTAATTTTTCACGTTATTTAATTACGAATGGTGTGACTGATGAGTCTGAGTCTCTGAGAGTGTTTTTAAGTGCAGTGTATCTGCATGGGTTTCAATTAAGCAGCCATTAATCATTAATTTTAGGATCTAAATGAGCAAGCTATCATAAGTCAAATAAGCTAGAAGTCTATATAGAGGTCTAGCCTATACCTATATGTTATTTTTAATTTTATTAATATAATTACAGCAGTTATGAGGATGTAAAGAGTGAAAATCTTGTTCAGGGAATAATTTTCCTGGTATCGCATCGCAATTTGCTATGCATTTTTGCGTGACTGCTATACAAAATATCTTTTGTGTAGCAGTTTTCTTCCATAGAAATGTACAGAATTTCATTTGAAATATTTATCCATCGGCTGAAATAACTAATCAAAAAATTTGAGGAAAATTATTCCCTGTTGTTGCATATCTCATTCATCGCGGTCCGGTCGAACTGAACCATTTGTTCCGTACAGTCCCGTACAGTCCCGATAGGCCATACTTCAGTCTCTATAATCGGAGGTCTAGTGGAGCCAGACGTAGTCTCAGTGGAACAACCGACGATTAGAGAGACTGAAGTTTTCGGTCTAACCTTGAATAGGCCCCCTATACCTTGAATACCAAAGCTTCTTGAAGAAAGCCATCTTCAGCTGCCAAGCTTCCAGGTTTAACTTCAAGGGGGGGGGGGGGGGAGGGATGTCCCAGCTTCCGGGTCTTGCACCATAGTCATTTTACATCTGTATCATGCTTGCTGGGTCATATCAGGATTATCATAATTGGAGTGTCAACTGGGAGAAGGGTGAATGATATCGCTAGGTCTTAATATATTTAAGATTAATATAAAGACCTAGATCTCAGTTCTGATGTTGAAGGACCTTTAAAGCCAGTCGTTACTAGTTTGGCCAGGAGGGATTAATTAGACCATCCTGCATGATCACTGACAGTTAGCTATCTCATCAAATTGGCTCTCAATTGACATAAGAAAAAGAGGTTCATGGGAGACCAACGGGCACCGCTTAGGCATTGTTTTCTATATAGAGGGAGCAAGTAGCTACAAGTAGTGCAGTGGGGCTTTAAGTTTAGCTACACATGAAGTTTGGCCCTGGTCCTGCATAGCCTGGGAAAAAAAATTATATTTAAATAAAATCCTTTTTTTTTCAGTCTGAAGAAAGTATTCTATCTAGAGGAGGAGCATATATTCTAAGTCAAAATTTGTTTGAATAACTTTGTTATACTTGCCTTTAAAGTCAAGCACTTCAGGAAAAGCTAAATGTTATCACATACTATTTGGTTTGACATTGAATTCCTAATGGACTATGGTAATAGAGCCTCTTACTTCATCATTCATACTTTTTACCAGGGCAGCGTTTCATGAAACCGTCGTCTCAAGTGCAAGTTCATTGACATCCAATTGAACGTGTGTATTAATTTCAATTACCGGTAACGCACGTGTCAATGAGTTGTCATTGAACTTATGACGGTTCACTGATTATACAATGCTCTGGTCTTTGGACTTTGAATCTTTGAGAGCTAATCTTAAGTCCAAAGTGTTTTTTTCTTGTGTTGTCGTTAGTATCAATTTCAAAATGTTAATACTTTATTGATTATATCTACATATTTTTCTTCTTCTATTGTTTTATCTTCATCCTTGTGAGTTTCTTTTTTTCTTCTTTCTTTATCTTCATTTTTTTCTCAAGTTAAATGCTAACTATTCTACTTTCCTTCTCTGTATCTTCCTCATTGCAGATTCTTCCCATCTCTGTTCTTCTTCTTATTTTCGTTCTTGTTTTTCTTCTCTTCCTGTCTCGTCCTCACACTCTTCCCCTTCTTCTCCTCCTCCTTTTTATTCTCATCTTTCTTATTTTTTCTTCAACCTTTCTTTATTCTCATTCTTCTTCTCCTTTTTCTTCTTCTCTTTTTTCTTCTTGTTCTTCTTCTTCCTGCTCCTCCTCCTCCTTCTCCTTCTTCCTTCTTCCTTCTTTTTCTACTTCTTCTTCTTCCCCTTCTTCTTCTTATAATTGTTATTGTTATTATTATTGTTAATACATTGTTGTTGTTATTATTATTATTATTATTATTATTATTATTATTATTATTATTATTATTATTATTATTATTATTATTATTATTATTATTATTATTATTATTATTATTATTATTATTATTATTATTATTATTATTATTATTATTATTATTATTATTAATATTAATATTCTTGTTATTTTTATTATTATTATCAGTATTATTATTATTCTCCTGCTTTTTGTGTTACTGTATGTAGTTTTTTTTTTTTTTTTTTTTTTTTTTGGGGGGGGGGGGTCACAATCTAAATAACTAATTGATATCTTCATCTTATCTCCCTCTATAGACATTCACAATGAGTGGTGTGTTGCAGCAACTGAGGGACTATGGTCAATGGGCCAACAGTGTGGCTGGTGAGTATTGCATTCAGGTGTTTCAATTTATTCATTCACTCCTTTCATCCAATCAGCTATCAATCATTCATTCATTCACTCCTTTCATCCAATCCTTTCATCCAATCAGATGTCAATCTTTCATTCATTCATTCATACACCCCTTTCATCCAATCAGCTGTCAATCATTCAATCATTCATTCATTCACTCCTTTCATCCAATCAGCTGTCAATCATTCATTCATTCATTCATTCACTCCTTTCATCCAATCAGTGGTCAATCGTTCGTTCATTCATTCTTCTTCTTCTTCTTCTTCTTCTTCTTCTTCTTCTTCTTCTTCTTCTTCTTCTTCTTCTTCTTCTTCTTCTTCTTCTTCTTCTTCTTCTTCTTCTTCTTCTTCTTCTTCTTCTTCTTCTTCTTCTTCTTCTTCTTCTTCTTCTTCTTCTTCTTCTTCTTCTTCTTCTTCTTCTTCTTCTTCTTCTTCTTCTTCTTCTTCTTCTTCTTCTTCTTCTTCTTCTTCTTCTTCTTCTTCTTCTTCTTCTTCTTCTTCTTCTTCTTCTTCTTCTTCTTCTTCTTCTTCTTCTTCTTCTTCTTCTTCTATGTGCCATATCCTGAGATGTTGGCGACCATGGAGTGCCACAACTCTCTATCCCATATTCTATGAAGTAATTCATTCTCCCTGAGATCAATTCCACATCATTCTGACTATTGAAATAAAATAAAAAATGAAATATTTGTATTGGGGCACTTCACAAAAAGTATGCATTCAATTTGGTTACATAACAGAAAATTATCTATTGCTTCAAGACAGTTTCATTCACATTTTAATCACATGACCTGTATTCCAAATTTATCTTGAAGTAAGACATTTCTTACTTCCACTAGTCTGTTTAGGGCCCCGTCTTATGAGGAGTTACGATTGATCCAAATCGATCGTAAGTCCTTCAATCAATCGCAAATAAGTTGTGATTGAAATCAACTCTTTATAAGACAGGGCCTAGGTCTCATATTTATGATTTCATAAAGAGTTAGTAGCTATTATTAGTCTGTTATCATGAGTCTGGTCTTGTTCCTATATCCCTGCACAGACACCAGGACTGGAGGCTGGTTCCTGATGTCTAGTCCTCTAAACACCTACTCCCTGGTGGCCCTGTACCTGGTTATGGCCTACTGTGGACCTAGAGTCATGGCCTCAAGACAAGCCTTGGATCTCAAACTACCGATGCTGGTCTACAACTTTGCCCTGGTCGTCCTCTCTGCGTACATGTTCAAGGAGGTATTGTATTTATTCAAATAAGTTTATGCGTGTACCTATTAACAGATGTTTATTTTCTCAAAACTCTAGATAACTTGGGGAAATATATTCATTTAATAATAATATATTCATTTGTAAAGTGTAATAACTATGTAGATACAGGGTTGGGCGGTAAATACCGGTAGTGGTAATTACCGTCGGTAAATACTGGTAAAGACCGTCCGGTAAATAAGATGGGCGTCCGGTAAATATGTAAAAAACAGGAAATATGATTTTAATTCTCTATTTATTAATAATTTTACTTGTTTTTAGCATCAACAACTGAAAATATTGTTCTGATATAATTAGCAGCACAACACTCATATATTTTATAAAAGCTGTGCTATCCATACTATATGAACAAGTGAGTTTTCCGTCTTGATTTAAAATTATCTAATGATGGGGTTTTCCTTATTTCTAGTGGTAATCTATTCCATAATCTAGGGGAAAGTACCTTTGCTCATGCAGGGACTTCGCTGTAGAATGTTCTCCCTCAGGAGTTTCATAATATAAGATCATTTGACATGTTTAAACATGATTTTAAAACGGATCTGTTTGGTTTGGTTTATATTTAATTGTCCTCTTTCATTTTTGTACGTTCTATCTATAATACTCCTATTGTTCTCTTGTGTACAATGCAGACGCTTTTATTATTTTAACTTTTGTGCACAACTTCACCTTTAGCATTCGATTTCAAGTGTATTTTGGGCCTTACAAATCTAAAGTATTATCATTAGTTTTATAACCAGAAACGCCTATAAACTGGCATGTTGCTCAATTATACAAGTGCAGCCTTTCTGTGAAAAAGAAATATCATAAGGAGAATTTCAGGTCAAACTGGGCTTTGCTTCATGTACTAAATTCCATGAATTTTTAAGCATTGTAACCTATTGACAGACATTCTTTTTATAAGGGCTTGGGTTAACAATTTAAGGGGCAAGTGGCCCTCTGCTGTATCTATCATTTCTTTGGTTGTATATGAAGATGATAGTTATTTTATACAATGACATTTAAATCAGTAATCTATAAGTGTTTATACAACTCACTCTCAGAATCTAATTTTAATTATCTCCCTCTCTATGTCTCTTCCATTAATCCCCTCTCTCCCTCCTCCACCTCTCCCCCCCCCCCCCTCTCTCTCTCTCTCTCTCACTCTCAATGTATCTCTATTCTCTCTCTCTCTCTCTCTCTCTCTCTCTCTCTCTCTCTATTATCTCTCTCTCCCTCCCTCCCTCCCTCTCTCCCTCCCTCTCTCCCCCTCCTCTCTCCCCCTCCTCTCTCCCTCCCCCTCCCTCTCTCCCCCTCCTTCTCTCTCTCTTTCTCTCATGCTCTCCCACACAGTTCTTTGTGACCACTGTGCTGAATCCTAAGTTCAATGTATCGTGTGAAGCAGTGGACTATTCTGATGACCCCATGTCAGTCAGAGTAAGTAGAGATGGTGCACATATTGTTTTAAAACTGCTAAGGCAATATGCCATTTGTGGTATACAAACATCTTATTATTATTATTAACATGTAAGAGTGACGGGTTTGAATTTTGAAATGACAGGTTTGTAAATCAGTTAAAGGTTTAAATGAAGTCTCAACCAAAATTATTTCTAATAAGTAGTCATAAAATGTGTGTGAAAATGCTTCAAAATATGGCTCAGATTTGCACTAAGGAGATCCCTGAATCAGGCCCTGGAACCTAGCGCCAAAGGTCTTGGCACTCTGCCCACATCAGCTCATTTCCCATCCAAGATGCAATTTTTAATTTTTAATTTTTGTTTGTGGGAAACCTGATGGAGTTGTCATGGTATAGTGGTTCATTCACTTGACTTTTAATTCAAGGGTTGCGGGTTCTAACCAGCCAGGCACTCGCGTCTTTTAGCAAGACATTGATCCACATTTGCCACTCTCCAGCCAGGTGTAAATGGGTACCTTGCAATTGCTGGGGTAATAATAATTGCAGAGCCTGCAGGAAGAGCAATATTAATATGAGTATGCTTGCAGATGTATAAAAATGAAAGATTTACAATTTAAAGGTTTATTATCCATTACCTTTCGTTTAAGTCAGCGGTGTAATGTGTAAGTTTCATTTGGCATCAAATTAAAAAGAAGTTCAGCAGCAGAACATCAAATAATATCACACATCGCAACCTTCATTTAGAGAAGTAAAAAAATCAGTCATATTTGATGTGCTCTCATTGTAATCATCTGCAAGATTTTGTTATCATAGAAAGATTATTATGTTGAACATATTTGATTTACTGTTTTTTTTTTGTTTTTTTTTTCTAGCTTGCTGGAGCTTGCTGGTGGTTTTTCTTCTCTAAGATCATCGAGCTGCTAGATACAGTAAGTTTCAAGTCTACTCTTGTTTTGTTTTGTTGCGATGTTTGTTTTATTTTCCATGTAAATCATCTGTTTCACAATTGTTAACATCATACATAGAGTAAAGGGGTCGTCATAAGCAAAGCTTTAATTGACGTCCTAAGGAAGCTTTGGAAAATAATAAAATGAGAGAAAAAACTCATCACAAATATGAACATTTTTAAAGCCCCTCTAAAGTTCTGGGAGCCCCAAAAATTTGATGGCAAAATTTCACTTGAATTGTATTATAATGTGAAAGAGGATATCATTTAAGACACATTTCTGCAAGGATTTTCAAATCAAATGTGTTTGAAGTCGAATATTGATAAAGAATTTCTGCGTACAACAGAAAACCCAAATTATGTATTCTTTTATCAATATTTGTCTTCAAAAACATATTTTTGGGTGAAATCTTTGAAAATGGCCTATTCAGTTACGTCTTCTTATTTTCTGGTCAGGTTATCTTCATGCTGCGTAAGAAGAACAACCAGATCTCTTTCCTCCACGTCTACCATCATGCCACTATGCCTGTCCTCTGGTGGATCGGGGTGCGCTATGTAGCGGGCGGATCCTGTAAGTATACTACAGTCAAACCTGTATAGAAAGACCACCTGCCTACAAAGACCCCTTTTCACCTTTTCCTTGAGCTGTCTTTACATGTAGGTTTCACTGTACATTATTTCAATAAATGCTGGCTCATTATTTAGCTTTTCAAGTCATTTTCCAGCAAGGCATACATGTAGATGTTGTGAGCTAAGTCTGGGCCCCGTCTCATTAGGAGATGATATAATAATAATAATAATAATAATAATAGCCTAATAGTCCACTCCAAATTTTATTAAACCGAAACGGAAATTCTTTTTGCTCAATTGATCGTGAGCCCGGCAGCCACTGAGCAGCGCCAGATCGACGTTGCTCTATCCCTTAATGTTGAACGCCTTACAAGGTAGCAACAACTCCCATCTTTTAACGTCTTTTGGTATGACGCGGCCGGGGTTCGAACCCACGACCTCCCGGTTGTGAGGTGGACGCTCTACTGACTGAGCCAACACTCAATTCCAACTTATTTGTGATTGATATCAATCGCAGCTATGTACATAAGAGATAGGAGATTGCAAACTTGTGATTGATTGGATGACTTATGATTGATTTGGATCAATCGTAACTCTTTATATTATAATTATTCTCTTTATTTTGTCTTTTCTTTTGTAAAGCATTCTTCTCTGGAATGGTAAACTGTTTCATCCATGTTCTGATGTATGGCTACTACTTCCTCTCCGCCCTTGGTCCCTGGATCCAGCCTTATCTCTGGTGGAAGAAATATCTGACATCCCTCCAGCTGGTACGTATGAGAACACCCCTGGATTTATTTAGTGGAAGATTCCTCATAGTTTCCTCACTGTTGAATGGAGACTAATCCATTTTAGTAGAAGGGATGTTTTTGCTTAGGATCCTGGATCCAGTCTTATGTCTCGTGGAAGAAATATCTGACATCCCTCCAGTGCTGAATCACATGTACACACTTATGTTTATAGGGTGGACATACATTTTGCAAATCATGTAAAGAATTGTATAGTATCAATTAAATTATTCTGACTATCACCCTCTCTCTCTCTCTCTCTCTCCTTCTGTCTTTCCTTTCCCTTCCATTCCTATATCTCTTTCTTTTGTGGACTTTCCCACATTGGTCTCTCTCTCTCTCTCTCTCTCTCCTCTTTTTGTCATTCACCCCCCCCCAATCTCTCTCTCTTTATATCTCTCTGTCCCCCTTCTCTCTTTCTCCTCTCTGTCTCCCCCCCCCCTCCTTCTCTCTGTCTCCCCCCTCTCATTCTTTCTCTCCCCCACCCCTCTCTCTCCCCCACCCCTCTCTATCTCTCACACTATCTTTCTCTCTCTCTCTCTCTCTCTCTCTCTCTCTCCATCTCCCCCTCTCCCTCATCTTCTCTCCCTCTCTCTCATCCTCTCTCTCCCCACACAGATCCAGTTCTTCACCGTGCTCATCCACTGTGGGTTTGTCATGTATCATCAATGCGGCTTCCCGAATGGTTACGTGTATGCTCTCATCGCATACCTCATCTCGCACATACTACTCTTCTCAAACTTCTACAACCAGGTCAGATTCTGAAACAAAATCTTGGATTTAGCTCATGCTGCAATCATAATTATTAACCTTTAGGTCAGTCAGGAATCCCATGACTTTTACAAGCCGATCGCCTGTCTGATTATCCAGATATTTATGATCAGAAATCGAAATTTCATTAACCGTTTTCCCCAACGGTTTTTATAACACCACAGTCTATTGGAGAAAGTGAGTATGGTAAAACCGGTCCCAAATATTTAATTTTTTTTGAGGCACTTCATGATCATTTTGATCATCTAAAAAATGTAGTTAGCTGTGGAGTATCTGAACATGGCTTTAGGGTCTCCTAAATTTTTAGAGAGTTCTAATTATGCTAGTTATGTCAGTTGGGGATTATTTTTATTTCACACTTGCCACAAGTTCAATTTCTTCTACACTTAATATTCTTCAGCAAATATCTCTGTCAGTCTGAAAACGCTCTTAAACGCTTAGAGGTGTGGTAGTGGAGTGGTTTAAGCACTTGACTTGAAATTCAGAGGTTGTGGGTTTGATCCCGACATGGCACCAATGTCCTTTGGCAAGGCATTAATCTACATTTGCCACTCAATACCCAGGAGAGATAAATGGGGACCTGGTAGGATGACAAAAGCCTTTGTGTTAGTAATTGCCATATGCCCTCATAGTGACCATATGGTAGTACAGTCAAACCTGCTTTAGTGACCACCTGTCTACAAAGACTACCTGTCTAAAACAAGCACATTTTTTGTTTCCCTTGACAGGCCTTAAATTTCAACATTTATAGGGCAAGGCCACTTTTCTGTAGGGCACATTCCTATATGACAGCACAAATAGGAAGAATTGGAAAGGGCACAAAAAATCTCCAAGGCCAATGAGAGGGGCATTGAGGCCAATCAAAGGGGCATCCATGGCCATGGCCACGGATTAATTTAAGCCCTAGCTGCCTTGAAAATGGTTTCTCATTGAAACATGTACTAAGGGAACCTGTCTACAAAGACCACTTTTGCGTTTCCCTTGGGCGGTCGCTGTAGACAGGTTTGACTGTATTACTCCCTAGGGAATGGAGATTGTGTGTGAATGGATCCAATGACAGGGATAATAATATCTGCATAGTGCTTAGAGACAGTATTTTGTATTAAAGGCCGTCTGTACTAGATTGGCTAGGAAAGATTAGACCACCCAGGGTACTCACTGACAGGTGGGTATCTCATCAACTCTGGTCTCAGTTAACATAAGAAAAAGAGAATCATGGGGGACCAATGGACACTGATTAGGCATTGTTTGCTATATAGAGGGAGCAAGTAGCTACAAGTAGTACAGTGGGGCTTTAAGCACTATATAAATCCAGGTTATTATTGTTTGTTGCTTTGTTCACTCCTCTGCAGCAATACGTGGTGAAAGCGAAAAAGGAAGAGAGCAAGAAGAACGACGGGCAGGCGGAGAACGGCGCTCCGGAGACCCCCAGTAGAAACGGAAGGTACAACCTGAGAGAGCGATCTCCCAGGACACCATACACGGAGTAGAAAGAAGTTTTGCCTTTGGATGATGCACCCCCAAATTCCTTCTGCATCTACAATCAACAAGTGCCACTCAATTGCTTTCATTTTTTCTTTTTTTGAATTTTGGGTTAACTTAGAAGGAAACATGAATGCATGTGCTCAATCCTAGAAAAATTTGGTGTATGAAATTTCTTTTTCTGTTTGTTTTGTTTTTGTTTTTTTGTTTGAATTTCGGTTCAATTTGGAAAGAAAATTGAACGCATGTGCTCAATTCAAGCATAATTTGGTGTATTAATTTCATTTTTTCTTTTTTGAATTTTGGGTTAACATGGGAAGAAACTAATGCATGTGTTCAATTTTAGCCCAATTCGGTGTAACAAATAATAATGGTAAATGGCGGAGAAAAAACATGAATCATTTCTTATCTTGTAAGGCAAAGTCCACATACTTTTATATGTTTGGATGTAATAAAATTTAATGAGATTTATGCATTAAATTTGATTACATTACAAAAATTGCCTATTCCACAATAAGATTAAAGAAAACCTTTGACTACATTACAGGTTTCAGGGAATAATTTTCCTCAAATTTTTTTATTAGCAATTTCAGCCGATGGATAAATATTTCAAATGAAATTCTGTACATTTCTATGGAAGAAAACTGCTACACAAAAGATATTTTGTATAGCAGTCATGCAAAAATGCAGAGCAAATTGCGATTCGATACCAGGAAAATTATTCCCTGGGTTTTAATAAACACCATGATTTGATTAAATTTATATGCAAAACAACATGCAGGGGTTAATTTAACAATACTTTCAGCATTAATTACAAGTTCCAGTTTTGGACGCAAGAGTACCAAACACATCAGAGGTGATTTGGAAAAAGAAAACTCAAGATTTACTTTGAAATAATTTCTCCTAGTAATTGATTTTATACACTTGTCAATGAGACAAGCGAGATAAGAATACAAAAATAAATTTTGTTTCTGGAATCTTTGTTAAAAATTGTTTATTTGTGGATATCATTAAACATTTTCTTGAAAATGTCAGTAGTTAGCATTAATAAGAGTTTATATACTGTTGCAATTGTGGCCTTTCACATAGTTTTACTAAAATGATACTCAATGACATGGAGCTTTAAAAAAAAAAAATTTTGAGAATATTTGTAAGCATATATTGTTGCAATTGCGACCTTTTGTATAGTTTTACTAAAATAGCATGAAACTCAATTACGTGTAGCTTGAAAGACTATTTTCAGAGAATATTTTTGTAAGTATTACCCAATCATGTTTATGTGATCTGATACAGGTACATGATGAGGATTATAAGATCATAAGAATTCCTGTATTGTTCCGATTGCGACCTTTTGCATTAGGAATCATAGTTTTGTACCAAAATAGTGTGATACTCAATTTTGAAAGACTATTTTCTGAGAATATTTTTGTAAGTACCGTATATAACGGTGTATAAACCGCACTTTTTTGCCGCCGAAAAAATTTCAAAGTCGGGGGTGCGGTTTATACACGGTACACCCCAAAAAAGTTTTAAAGTTTCAATTTATGCCCCTCCACCTGGCGCTATGCCTGGCAATGTCTCCCAGCTCGGTAATCGGTGTGTTGACTCACCACTCGGAAACTAGAACAACACTCAAATTTGTCTGTCATCTTGGTTTGAAAGTAATCTTTCTGATAGATCTCAATATGTAGTTTATAATAATAATTCCTCCAATTTTTCTTCTATTACATGGTGTACCACAAGGTTCTATCCTAGGTCCCTACTGTTTTTTAATTTACAGTACCGTAATGATCTTACACACACAAAAAAAAAAATCTCGGCAAAAAAAAAAAAAAAAAAAAAAAAAAAAAATTTTAAGGGCGAAAAAGAGGGGTGCGGTTAATACACGAGGGCGGTTTATACAACGTTATTTACGGTATACCCAATCAGGTTTGTGTGATCTGATACATTAAGAGGATTATTCCATCGTTTTGCTACCAGTATCAGGAGTAATCTTCAAGTCATGACATTTTCATAACAAAAATTGACCAAATACATGCTCATGGTTACGGCCAGCAATCTCTCCTTCTACAATTTATGGAAGAACACAATGAAATAAATTGTATTTTTATAGATTGTGTGAATGCATGGTATTGTAGAATTTGATATGTTATAATCAATTAACCATGGTATCAATTTATATTCCTCTATTTAGGAAACTTGTAAATATACAAGTTTTCCAATTTAATTCCAAATTGGTGATTTTGGTATCTTTCGTCTAATCATGTTTGATAATTTAATGTGTGAGTTTTGATTGATGTGAGCTTTTTACTCTAGCTAGTTAATATATTGACTGTCTTCTTTTTCAAATAAAACTTGATAAATGTTCTATCAACTATTGGGTAAACGACAATCAAGGGTTAAAGCCAAGGTACTTTGTATTACCGGTACTTATAAATTATTTTAATGTAGTCAGGAAAATGACAGGGTTTTTCCACTTTCATGCATTTTTTAGATACTTTTGTGATATTTATCATGTTCAGTTGTATACACATACTGCAATAAAACAGTAATGTGTTAAAAAAAATTGAGTTGAATATCAGCGGCTAAAGTCATCAGGAAAAAGAGCTATGCAATTTTGAAAAGAGATAAATTGAGCCTCTGGAATATCTGGAATCCATTTTTTTACACCAAAGTGTCAAATAATTTCCCTGAAGCAGAGACAAAAGCTACAAAAATTTGCTTTTGTTCATGATAAAGTATGTTTAAATTTCATTTATTTTATTTTATCAGTGATTGTTTTACTCAATTTTTAAATTTAATGTTGCATAAAATTCTGAGGAATTCATTTTTTTTACCCCTCTCTGTGCCTATCTAACCGAACGTATGGAATATTCAGAATCCATTTTATACCCTAAAAGTCGAGTGATCTCCCTCAGGTAAAGGAAAATGCTACCAAAATTCCATGTATTTTGCTAATGTTAGTGATGAAATATGTTTAAATTGCATTTATTAGCTTTTATCAGTGATTAGTGTTTTAATAATTTTTAAAAAATTTATGTGCCATGAAATTCTGAGGAATTCATTTTTTTTTTACCCCTCACTGTGCCAATCTAAGGAATACTCAGAATCCATTTTATACCCTAAAAGTCAAACGATTTCCCTCAAGAAGAAGAAAATGTTATTAAAATTCCTTGTATTTTGCTTTTGTTAGTGACAAAATTTGTTGAAATTGCAATTACTTGCACTTTCAAATGACAACATTTGTGTAAATTGCATTTATTTGCTTTTTTTAATGACAAAAAGTGTTTAAATTTGCATTTATTTGCTTTTTTTAATGACAAAATGTGTTTAAATTGCATTTATTTGCTTTTATTAGTGATTTTTTACTTCATTTAATTTTTTTTAATGTGCCATGAAATTCTGAGGAATTCTGTTTTAATCCTCACAGTGCCAATCAAACTCAGTATTTGTCCGGCAGAAGAAGAGTTAAGCCCATCCTAGGCTATACTTCTGTTTTGGTTATGATATCGTTGTCAAATTGTAAACATTTTCATTGTAAAGACCATTTACAGCTTACATTCTATCAGACATATATATCGTATGTCATTATTTATTGTGATCTTCGTGTGTGTTTGTGTTATTAATATTTTGAATATGTTGAAATATATCTGTTTGTTGTATCTGAAATGGCAAAAGTTCCAAACTGTTTCTAGAGTGCCAACTATTACCTAATCAATAATACATTCCATTTATTCATACTTGCTAACAATACTTTATGCTCAATTAATGATTTTTCAACTATATCAAGTTAAAACTAATGATCCATTATGCTTTTTTAAACATTTTTTTACTTCTGTATATTTTTAAAATCTGTATTTTACAAGGAGATTGTCCGATTATAAGCAAGATAATATCCCTTCCACTTTTTTAACAACATTTTTAAAATCAGTTGCTGCTATGACAGGCAAATGTTGAGTCAATCAAAAAAAAATTCTTCCAATTTTTATGCAAAGAAAATTGGTTAATAATTTAATAACATTTTCTGAATTAATTTTTCCTCAAAAAGGCCTTATTACTCGATCTCTGCATTCCTAATATTTTGTTTAAAAAATAGTTTATTGACTATTTTTAGAGAAAGAAAATACAACTATGAAAGAAAGCTTAGTCATAGACATATGAATTGCAGTTGATAAAAAGAGGAGATTCTATTTTCTTTATTGAAATATATATATATATATGTAACTATGTCTTTATGTTTGCTCTCTGTGTTATGCAATGAGCTGGAGTTGTGTTCTCACAAAGGAAAACCAAATTAAGAAATTATATGGAGTAAAAATTTTACTTTTACATGTTGTTAAACACATTTTGCTGCAGAATTTATTTGCATACGGTACATGTATTACAATTTTTTATTTGTAGAAAACTGTTTAATGAATAAAAAAATATATGTATTAAAGCTTTCAAAACTGAGAAATATCAGCCCAAAGACGGAGGGAAAAAAAGAGAATGCATTCAAAGCTGAGAAATATCGGCCCAAAGAGGGAGAAAGAAAAAAAGATTTCTGATTGACCGACCCGTTTTGGGCACCTAAAGGATAATACACAACATCTCTTTTTTTAGGCCTAACTGGTAAGGCGCTATTATCATAATTTTACCATCCAACTTTACATGTTGCATGCAAAGCTTTTGTCGTGACTCGATGTGTATTTGAATGTGTTTGACAAGAAACAATTTGCTGTGAATCACATCATTATCATCAATTATAGGAGTTAAACATAATATTTGTGTTATACTTTTGAAATGAAATATCAGAGACTTACCTCCAGTTTGGTGCTTCCAAAATTTACAGTGTTTGTCAAATTGTCAAATTGTTATGCAGTATAACTTCCTTTACAGGTTGTCAAGTATTTTTGTACACAGTCTGAAATATCTCTAAGTATTTTATATAATGTTTGGATAATTGATCACCTTGATGATGTACTCTGCTTTACTGAAAATTTACAATTCTATTGAAATCTCAAATTTCAAATCAGTTGTTAATGATTTACTCTGCTTTGCTGCATTTTACAATTCAATTTGAATCTCAATTCTAAATCTGTCGTTATCTTTGTCAATTTCACCTGTATGTTGTGATCGAAATTAAAATGTGTGTTTCCACTTCACATTAGTTTTATGTCTGACCAGCAGGTAGATTCTTCATGGTACAACCTACCTTATTTATAAGAGGACATTTTGGTTACTTTTTGTTTTAATTATTGCTTTTTCTTTTAGAAGTGCATTCCATTTCTGGTACAGACAACAATCCAATCAATCATGGTTTAAAATCTGTAAACAAAAATCATGTGACCTAGCTAAGCTTCTTAATTAGATATTACAATTGTATATTTATCAGTGCTATTATGAACCAGGGAATCTGTGATATATATTTCTCTACGGAATTGTCTGTCCATAATAACACCAACATTTTGATTAATTGAATATGTGTGATTAGTGATAGGGATATGACATACTACAGACTTTGAAAGAATCAATATTTACGCCAGGTTTTATGTATGCAGCTGAAGAGTAAATTATTCTAAACAGCCATCGGGTAAAATATGAAATTCAGCAAAGATCATTCCGCTATCCACTGAACCATTGTATTTTTTACTGATGTTCATGAATCTATCTCTTTCTTTAACTTCACTTTTTTTTTTCTTCCATTTTCTTTGTCTTCCTAGTTCTCTTCATCATCTTGATTCATTTCTTTTTATCTTGACATACATACATACATATTGGTATTTATTTAGCGCCTTTACATGAACATGATGATTTATGTCTTCATATTTTTCCTTTCTTCTTTCATTATCCACTGAATCACTTCATTGTTCTCTCTCTCTAAGTGCCATATCGATTGACTTTGGCGATCATGCTGTTCCACAACCCTCGGTTCTTAGCCTTCTGTATTAGCACCATTCCCAGTTCTTTCACTCCTCTCTCTTCCAACAATTTCTGCAGACTGTCCATCCAAAGTATCCTCCTTCTTCCCCTACTCCTCCTTCCCACAATTTTCCCTGTCAGTGCAAGATTCTCGAGGCCTTCTTTACGTGTAATGTGACCCATGAACTTCAACTGCCTAATCAACATCTCGCGTATCATTTTCCTTTGCACTCCAGCTCGTGTAAGAACTTCCTCATTACTAACTCTGTCAGTCCAGGGGATTTTCATCATTCTTCTTAAGAACCACATTTCGCAACTTTCCAAACGCTTATTAGTATCAGAGGCTAAAGTCCATGTTTCACTACCATACATAAGTACTGGGTATATGTAACAATTCATTACTCTTATCCTGGTCCTCATACTCATTGTTCGATTTGTCAGAATTTTGCCTAGCTTTGAAATCACTTCATTGTTACCGGTACTGATGTTTATAGATCTATCTCTTTTCTTTATCTTTGTTTTCTTTCATGGTCTATGTCTTCCTATTTCTCTTCATCATCTCTATTCATTGTTACCTGTTATCTTAAATATATCATGATTTATGTCTTTATATTTTCCCTTTCTTCTTTCGTTATCCACTGAACTTCATTGTTACTGATGTTCATGGATCTATCTCTTAATTGTCTTCATCTTCCTTTGCCTATCTTACTTTCACGTTCTTTGTCTTCATATTTCTCTTCATCATCTATATTCATTAGGCCTACCTGTTATCTTAAATATGTCGTGATTTATGTCTACTTTCCCTTCTTTCTATCCACTGAACCATTTCATTGTTATTGATGATCATTGAACTATCTTGTCTTTTATCTTCATTTTTACCACTTTCTTTGTAATTCCCTTTTCTCTTCATTATCTTAAATATATTGTGATTCATGTCTTTATATTTTTCCTTCTTTTTTTTCTCTCTGTTTAGTTATTCATTGCTGCATATCTTGATCTTTCATGTTCATCTTTTTTCTTTTTCATATAACTGTCCTTTGTTCACGTGCTTTGTCTCAACTCATTTATTCTTCTTCTCTTAAAGGCACACTGTCCTACTTGTAGCTACTTGCTCCCTCTATATAGAAAACTTCCCAAATCGGTGCCTGTTGGTCCCCCATGATCCTCTTTTTCTTATGTTAAATGAGAGCTGAGTTAATGAGATAGCCACCTGTCACAGTGACCTCGCTAGCTCACTGGGTGGTCTAATCCCTTCTGACTGAAGTAGTGAAGCCTCCCTTTAACTTTCATCCTCCCTTGCTCCTTCTTTCATCATCATCACCATCCATTCTTTCTTCGCCAAGATGCGATCTTCAGGAAACGGCTCAGTGTAAATTCAAGTTGAAGTGGTTAGAACGCTCCTATAAGGACACCTTTGTGCATTAATAATTAGGCCTCTCTAGAAATACTCTATACTTCCAAATAGCCTTCTCCAATGATAGCTGTGTGTGTGAATAATTGCAAATAATGTTTTTGCCATCATTCTTGTATGCTGTTTTACAAAAAATGAAATAAATAGAAATCTCCAACAAAAATTGGATGTATATTGTTGATTTTTTTGTTGTGATTTTGCCTGTGTGGTGCGCGCATAAACACGTGGAGTAGAGATTTGTACCAGTTTAATAGAGAAAGGGATATCCGTGGAGAAATAAAGTGGAACAAACTTAATCTGGTCTATCTGGCAGTCCAATGGCTAGATCGAATTAGGGTAAAACTAAAAGGGAGAAATAAAATTATGCACGACTACATAAGATTAGAGTAATTTAAGTGAAAATGATAGAATCGAGAGAGAGAGAGAGAGAGAGAAGAATGAGAACTGTAAAAGTTAGTGAGAGACTGGGACTATAGAGTAAGAAAAGGTGTTGGAGAAAGAGGAGTGCATTTAAAGGTATTGCAAAGTTTTGGTATTGGGTCATGAATATAGTTTGAATGAACATATTGGAAGCCTATATGCAATCCTATAATATTCAGTGATCGTTGTCGCGGTTGAAATCGAGTCTTAAGTTATGAAATTGTAAATAATTAACTTTTTATGTTGTTTAGCTCCCTCTCAAGGTCAAGATATTATTTAAGCTATGAAACAATGTTTATTGATCAAAATCGACCGATTAGCTATTCCCATTTAAAAATTTATATCCCAACTATATGTTGGGAGATTTTCATGGTCGTAGCTACCATTGGACAGCTGTAGGCGCTATTTGAAATTTATCAAAATTTACCGGGAGCACCGGTAAATTTTGATATTCAATTTTTCTCGGAAGTAGAAGTGTTTTAGGGGCTAAATTTTGAAGTGCTTATAATGCATCCACAGGGGCATCCAAATATATCAAAATTGTAAAGAATCACTATCCACCCAATTTTCAAAATTTCCCAAAACTTTGTATGTACAGAACTGGAAAAAAATTATAGTTTAATATGCGGCAGCTAGAGGTCATGATGCAGGCGTGATCAGATACAGTTTCAGTTTGAAAAATGGCAGAACAAAGAGAGAAAATAAAAAGAAGCTCATCACAGAGTGTGATTCCTCATGAAGATTTACCGGTATACAATACCAAGATTATAGTGAGCAAATGACTACTTTTTTATTTGATATGTTGAGCAATTATTATAATTTATATTCATTTATTGCAAACACAATGTTTGATTTCAAGTTTCAACCAACTTCTTAGTTTAGCCTTTCTCTGATTTGCTTAATCCAATCCAACATTTCCAACAAAACATCATAAAATTGAAAATTGATACGTTTTGCTAAAGTTGTTGTTATTGATTTCGATAACGATTATCAGACGACGATCGATCATCAAGCATTGTCCCCACCTGAATCCGAAAAGTGGAAAAGTTCGGCCAAAAATTGAGGGATTTATGTGATTTCCATTTGATTCGACAATGACAGGTAATTTAATAGTGCATGGAAATATTGTAGATTTAAAGTTAATTAGTTTTAATCGTCAATTTTTGTTCTATTCCCAGAAATTTCAAGAGAATCTGTGGCTTGTAATTTGCATGAAAAATATTTATATCAGCCCCACCTATAAGAAAATGTGATGTGTAGTCCTTGGGCTTGGATTGCAGTGTTGGGGAAATGTGGTGTGACATGTACCTCACTGACATGCATTGGAATATGCTGAAAACCTTAGCCTTACAGGCTTGGTGATTAATTGAATATGATATTTATTAGGTTTAGGTGGTTTTTGTGCAAATGTGTTGACAAGAAAAGATTACGGTTGAACGGTTCCCATTCAGTTTTCACCTGCATGCTCAGCTCAAAAAGTTCAAACGTACCTTGATTGAAATTGAATGATTCCCGCTGGATCTGTGGATCACTTCTGCAAGTGATGCACTAGTGTAAGAGTAACATTCTAGTCTAGACTAGAGTAAGACGGTCACCGTGGCTCACCTCGAATTATTGGGTCATCGCGTTGGGTCGAGTGACGGTAGTGTTTAACAACCTTTTGTGAAACAAAAGCAGAAGATCATGCAACATTTCACTTCCAGATTCATAGATTTGCTGTAGGGTTTTTACAAAATGTCAGTTAAATTGGACCAGACCATTTGAAGTTGAGAGGGGTTTATATCACAAACATCACAATCATCCCCAACATTTCGTGAATAAAGGGGCATGTCTTCACAAGCCTTAAGCCAGGCCTAGGTAATGCGAACACCCGACCGACACAAAGCCCATGATGATGAGAAGTAAACCTCGCACTCATACATGTACGTGAGTTAGCGCTATAATAGAGTACAAATTTTTCACACACACACTTGTATCAAACAAATTCAAAATTATTGTTGAAATATTAAATATTGAATATGATGCTCCATAGTCATGCTGTAAATAGGGAGGCCAATGCCCGGGCGTAAGGCTTCTACACCTACGATTTGTGCGCTCGTCGCCCACTTCAAAAAATTAGCAAAGGGAAAAAAATGATGTAAAAATAAAAATTGAAGAAAATAAGAAAAGAAAATACAATTATACATTTCACAACATACCTATAATCACGGATCTGTAACAGTCTTTCACCATTTGTTGACAATCTTGCAGATTTTGACGTTTTTTAATCCAATAATTGTGGTTGCAGACGACCTTGACGCACTCGCACCACCGACTAAGAAAATCCTAGAGGGCGTAGAGGTTTGCTCACTAAAAACCTTCTCATTGGCAGAAGGTAGACCCTAAAAATATGGGATCCGTTTTGAGTAAAGAACTTTTGATAGAGATCAACATTTCAGATGTTCACAATTGCCACTTCTAACAACTAGAAAATATAAAGAAAAAAGATTATATCTTTTTAAATACAGATTTTTACAAACTGAACATTCGAAAGTAGATAGAGTACGATGTTTCTGTCAATCTTGCGTTGGTTTGAGCCCTCTAGCTACATCCATCTCAAAATGAGAAGGAAAACAGTGAACAGTGACGTCATTGTTCGCGCCAAAAATAAAGGGTATTGCGACATAATCTGAGCTCCAGTCAGATCGTGCGCAAAGCGTAGTCTTATTTATAGACCCTAGTACCTTATTCTCACAGCACTAGATACGAGTGTCGTGCAGTAATGTATGAGAAGTGTTAAAAAAGATATTTCAGTAAAAAAAAAAGTCTACGTGAGCAGTCTATACTCCAATTGAGAATTCAAATGAAAGCCATGATTTGAAGGTGTGTGTTGTGTGATACATGGTTAGTGAGTGTGTATGTTACGTATAGCGAAAGGGAGAGAGAGAGAGAGAGAGTGAGAGAAATATTAGTACACGTACGTTGCATGCATGGATGTGCGCTATGATTGTGTTCGCTGCAAGATGGATGTTAATTGGACCTCGTAACTTCTCGATCGTTGATAATAAGGAATACTCATGAGGAAATCAAATTATTGGAATACACATCTAAGGTAAATATCAGTGAATTTCTTTCCTGCCAATTTTGATATCTATTCTTCATTTTTGAACCATCGTCTTCGGCTCGTAGTAGTAGAAGATGTAATCGTTCGCACATTGGACTTCAGCCTGCATCGGGGCTTGCCTGTGTCGGTGTGTACGTGTGCGACCGATTCAAGGCTAGCCGCTGTTGAGTGATTGCACTTTCGCGCGAAGTTTTAAACTTCATCATGAACTTTGTCCCTCGGGCCTGTCTAATTATGAACGTAACTTTGCGACATGAAATATAATTGTTTCAAGGCTCTTACGTACGGAAAGGCGTAGAAGGAAGCTGGATAAAAAGAGCTGGATATCTCCTATATAATGGAACTTCTGGAGTCGGCAGATGGGTGGATTTTCTTAGTGAAAGTAAATGCTTTCTTTTAATCTTAGTTTTAGTATAAACAAATTAGTAATTAAAAAGTTAGATTTGGGCATTGGCCTCCCTACAGTGTAAACCGTAAATGACCAGTTGATCGTAATAAATCAGTCCTGCATTGTACCTAATTTCCAGCTGATTCCCAGCTCAAAATCATGCAAAAAAATAGATCCCTACACTTTCATGCTCAGGAAAATGTTCTTGTTTTTAGTAAGTTCTATACCTTCCATACCTTACCAAGTTGCACAAGGTGTGGATTGATTTTGTTATGACCAAATTTTGGTGCATGGTTGTACCTCGGTTATTTGAGTGCATGCACACCTGCTATCGAATATGAAATGAATACTAAATAGCATTTTTCCAACACTTGTGTGTGACTTGATTGTATTTTACTGCTATTTAGGTATTGTCAATTATCATTAAAATGTTGATTATAATGTATTCTAGTGAGTTTTGTGCAATGGTGTTTGAGAGTTTTGAAAATTTATGGAGGGTTAATTTGTTTTATATTGATAGTTTATTTAACCACTGATAATGTTGATTAAAGTCTTGTATTTTGTATACTGCATACAGTACTGTACATGTACCTTGCCACATTTGCCAATGTGGCATTTCGGGGGCTATATCTTCTTGAGCCCCGTGTATTTTTGTCACTAGAACCTTCACCTTTACACCTAATTTAATGGTAGACTCATACATGTACATATGCTCCTTGGTATTATACTCATGAATAATTTACAATTGCATACTGTTTACATGTACATTGTATTATAATGATCTTATATAGCATATTTTTTATCAAGTACATGTACAATGTAAATACTTTTGTAAAATATTGTACAATTCAGCCCCTGGACTGCGATCCATATTTCTTGAATTAATAAACCATTATTATTATTATTATCATTATGTGGGCCCCTTGGGACAACATAAGTGGGAATACCGCATATACATGTAAGATACATAGTAGGGCTGTCAACTTGATTGAATTATGGGGTGTACCCAAAATTGTTGATGATGAAAGAGATTTTCATGACACTCATCCAAACTCTCTCATTCTTTCCATTTTTTCTTGTGCACCTCGGAATAGAATTGTCTCGATAGACGGCGCAATATAAGAAATGCCTATTATTATTATTATTATTATTATTATTTTGTATCTTCCTGCAGGTACATACGTCGTCCCGAGAAACTTCCGACTTTTGGAAGAGTTGGAAGATGGCCAGAAGGGAGCAGGGGACGGAACGATCAGCTGGGGCTTGGTCAGTGATGATGATATGATGATGACAGAATGGAACGGCATGATCATCGGCCCTAATAGGGTAAGGAAGACGCATTTTCCCCTCTTTCTGCTGTCTTATAATAATAATAATAATAATACAGTCAAACCTGTCTATAGCGACCACCAAAGGGAAACACCAAAAGTGGCCTTTGTAGACAGGTCGTCTTTGTAGACAGGTTCTTTTAGTACATGGTTCAATGAGAAACCATTTTCAAGGGAAACAACAAATGTGGCCTTTGTAGACAGGTGGTCACTAAAGCAGGTTTGACTGTAATTATAATAATGATATAATGAGGAAAGGAGGAGGAGGAGGAGGAGGAGGAGGAGGAGGGAGGGAGGGAGGGAGGGAGGGAGGGAGGGAGGGAGGAAGGAAGGAAGGAAGGAAGGAAGGAAGGAGGAGGAGGAGGAAGGAGGGAGGAGGAGGAGGAGGAGGAGGAGGGAGGGAGGAGGGAGGGAGGGAGGGAGGGAGGGAGGGAGGGAGGGATGGAGGAAGGAAGGAAGGAAGGAAGAAGGAGGAGGAAGGAGAGGAGGAGGAGGAGGAGGAGGAGGAGAGGGGGGGGGGGGGGGGAGGAGGAGGAGGTACTGTACATGTAACTAGTATTCATCACTGTAGGGAACTAGTAATCAGATTTTTGGACAAACCAAGGTCAAACCATCAAAGGTCCTAATGATCAATTAACATGTGACATTTTTCATTCTCATTGTAATATTCCAAGAATAATTTCCAGCCAGGATCTTAAATGAATAGGTGGCGGCATATTAGAGCACAATCGCATTAGTCATTTATCATGATTGAAGACCTAAGGTCTGGTTTTACTGAATCAGTAGAATAGGTATCGTAGTGATTTAAAAGTGGGCCCTACAACAATAAAATGAGGAATCTAAACTTTTACATTACGGTATTTGCAATGTTTCTCTACGAAAATGTCCTTTTAACTTTTTTTCATTCTTTCTTTCTTTCTACATCAAATGAGTTTTGAAGGAAGGGTATAATTTTTAAAAATTCTCTCATGTAAAATATAATTTTAGACCTAAGATCAGGTTTAACTGAAGAAGTAGAATACAGATTGCAGTGAGCCATTCAACAGCAAAATGAGGGATCTAAACTTTAACATTTTTGCAATGTTTCTCTGTGAAAATGTCCTTATTACATTCTTTCTTTCTTGTAGTTTTGAAGGAATGATCTATAATTTTAAAAATTGTCTTATGTTAAAGTTAAACTTGATCTAAGATCAGGTTTAACTGAAGAAGTAGAATACAGATTGCAGTGAGCCATTCAACAGCAAAATGAGGGATCTAAACTTTTACATTTTTTGCAATGTTTCTCTGTGAAAATGTCCTTACAGTATGACATTCTTTCTCTCTTCCTATACCATGTAGTTTTGAAGGAATGATCTATAATTTTAAAAATTGTCTTATGTTAAAGTTAAACTTGATCTAAGATCTAAGGTCAGGTTTAAAGGGAAAGTCCACCCCCAAAATAAGTTTGTTTCGATAGAGGCAGAATAATAAGAAAATCAGGTGAGTGAAAGTTTGAGCAAATTCTGAATGAAAATAAGAAAGTTATGAATTATTAAAGTTGTGATCAATCAAATACAAATTGGCAACTCTGTGACTTATTATACGAGCTCTCCTTCATTTGCTTTGTGCATAATATTCCATAAAATCATGTTTTCTTCGTTATTGATGACGGAATATATATTTGTTCCTTGCAGGGGGAGTATAGAAACATATTTGCAATTATTATATTTAGGGTGCATGTATGGTTGAAATTTTTCTTGAGGGAAAATGAAAATTTTAGATTTTTTTAGTACTGAGCAAATGGAAGTTGAGCTCGCATGATACATCATAGAGTTGCCAATTTGTGTTTGATTGATCACAACTTCAAAAATCCTAACTTCCTTATTTTTAATCGGAATTTGCTCAAACTTTCACTGACTTGTTTCTCTCATTTTTCTACTCCTATTAAAACTAATTTAATTTCAGGGTGGACTTCCCCTTTAACTGAAGAAGTAGAATACAGATTGCAGTGAGCTATTCAAAAGGAAAATGAGGGATCCAAACGTTAAATTATTTGCAATGTTTCTCTGTAAAAATGTGTGTATTACTGTCTTTCTCTCTTTCTGTCTTTCTTCCGATACAGTGTAGTTTTGAAGGAAGGATCTATAATTTAAAAGTTAGGTGTGGTAAGAGATATCCTGACGAGCCACCCACTGTTTATTTCATCACAAGGTTATCATTGACCTGTGTAGACCCTCAGACCGGCGAGGTGAGTGTTAAAGGCATCGTTTAACAACGTTAAATCTGAGATACATGGCCCTACATGTTATCAGTGTCTGTGATATTGTGTAATATTGAAGCCCTAAAAGAATTGCGCTTCAAAATAATCATGAAGTGCCTCAAAAAAGTAAAAAAATCTTTGAATGACCGGTTTTACCATACTCATTTTCCTGTATAGACTGACCATAGTGTTAGAAGAAAAAAAGTGTCAGGGAAAACAGTTTTTGACGTTTTGAATTCCAATCATAAATATCTTGATAATCAAACATGCGATTGGCTTGTAAAAGTCATGAGATTCATTTCTGACCTAAATGTTTATAATTATGATTGCAGCATGAGCTTTATCCAGGATTTTGTTTAGGATCAGAGGCAATAGGGACTTTTAGATTTGCACAACGACAACGTGGATTGCTACGATCGACGTCCTTTTGATGCACTGCCTTGAATGGACGTCACACGTATCAGTCCACGCAAAAAGTCCCTAAAGTTACCTACAGTAATACCTTAAAATAATGTCCTTGTGTGTTTTGTCCTGGTTCGCAGGTACTAAGGAACAATTTATCGGTTCTAGACAAATGGCAACGAAGCTACTCTATCAAGACCATCCTCTCTGAGCTCAAACGCGCGATGACGCTCAAGGAGAACGCAAAGTTACCACAACCTCCAGAGGGTGCCAAATTTTAGTTTACCGCACACCTGCGATTTAGTGGTTATCTCCTTTCCTTTCTTTATCCCTCTCTCCCTCTCCCTATCTTTCTTTCTTTCTCTCTCTCTCTCCCTATCTCTCTCTCCCTATCTCTCTCTCTCCCTCTCTCTCTCACTCTCCCTCTCTCTCTCACTCTCTGTCTATCTCTATTTCCCTCTTTCTCTCTATCTCTCTTTCTCTCTCAGGCTCTCTCTCTCTCTCTCTGGCTCTTTCTCTCTCTCACGTTCAAGTTATTGACTTTTCTTCGTCTTCTCTAGCACTATTTCAAAATCTTTTTTTACCCCCCGCCCCCCCCCCCCCCCCCCCCCCCCCCACCCCCTGCCCATTTTTTTCCTCTCTCTCTCTCTCTCTTGAATTCTTAGTAATACTCCTGTTCGATCGTTCATTTGGTTGTTGTGGTTACCCTTTTCTTTTTTTCTTTTCTTTTTCTTTACTCCTCCCCCCCCCCCTCTCTCTCTCTCTCTCTCTCTCTTTCTCTCTCTTTCTCTCTGTCATACAAATGGGTGACTTTTTCTCTCTCACTGTTTTCCCTCAAACTTTCTTTCGTCCTCTCCCCCTCTCTTTCTCTTTCTCTCCCTCTCTCTCCCTCTCTCCCTCTCTCTCTCTCTCTCTCTCTCTGATTGTGATTACGTAACATTAACATTATGGTACACAAACTGTAGAACCATCGGCAGTGTACATTTCAAATTCAATGTAGCAGATATCTACTTCAATTATTGTTTAGGAAAAATACTGGAAGCCATCACAAAGCTATTATTAAACAAATCTGCTGTAAAAAGAAAAAAGTAGGTCTTTCTGCTCGACGAAGCAATATTGCTGGATTTTCTTGAAGTACCTGTATCGGGATCTCATTCACATGAAATCCCATATTCACATCATTTAAAATGGGTATGTGTATTTGAATGTGAATTTGATTTTTGTTATCTCCTGTAATTTGTGTTACAACATTTCATGTGTAAAGAAAAAACACACATTTTTGTAATATTTGGCATGGGCTAGTATTGTACAGTACCAATTCTGAGCGGGATCTTTTTACATCCAAACTATTCAACTACCAGTGTAAGTTTTTTTTCCCCTTGTGATTATGTAACAAAGCGTTAGGCAACCTGAATTAAATGGCATTGGATAATTTAAACATTGATTCCTGAATTATGTCATTCCCACAGGTTCCCACAGTCAACCTGCTTTAGCAACCACCTGCATAGAAAGACCACTTGTCAAAACAGACCACATATTTTCTTATTGAAATTTGTCCTAACACAACCCGTCTGTGTGAAGTCCACATGCCTTTAAAGACCACATCTCTGGTCTCCCTTGAGCGGTCTTTGTATACAGGTTTCACTGTATCAAGGTGGACTGCCCCTTTAATTAGGTTAATTGATCTTTTGATGTGTAAGGGGCTACTCTCGTCCAGATTTCCAATGACATATGACCTGTCTTCATCAGCCCGAGTTTGCCAAATAACACGCTATTTGAACTTTCGCGATCGCAAATTAACCAGTTAATTTGTGTTTTCATCAGCCCGCAGTTGCAATTAGCAGGATATATGGTCAAGGAAATATCCTGAGAAATCTTGGTCTTGTTTCCAAAATATCCCGTCCGAGCTAGTTTGTGATGAGCGTATTGGTCTGGGGAAGATGCAAATTTGAGCTTCGGGATAATATCCCGAGTCTGAAAATGGTGGGTTATTTGGCAAACTCGAGCTAATGAGGACAGGCCTATTGTAGTCTGTATCATCATTACTGGTTAGTAGTAGATTCATCTGTTGGTTAGGATTCATACTATTAACATTATGAAATGGGTTTTTAACACTTGATATTAATTCATGGATTAAACTCGGGTCTGAGTATATTACAAATAACTAATTATTTATGTTGCCACTTCTTTATTTATTGTGGAGGGATCACATTAATGAGGCATGTTCGATGACATTTCATGAGCACAAAGACTTGTCATCTTAATAATAAATATGTACATGTAATTAGAGTGTATCAATTACTTAAGAAATATATTTACAGCTAGAATGTATGAAATCAACCTTGAATAAAACTTCCCGGCTTTTTGATGGACTAACTTATTGTACGTGCCATAACTTTCATTCTGTTCCAAAGCAATGACCATCACATGTAATAAAGAGGGAAATATTATTATTGTTGTAGCAAACCTCTAGATCTGTTACATTATGACTATCTCTTCCACACTCTGTAGATGGAATGTATCCCATCACAATTATCTAAGACCCCGTTCTCACTCACTTTGAAAGTGGTCTTAGTTAGACCGCTCCAGAGGAAAAGGTCTTGAGGAACAGTTTGCGAGCGTTCACACTCCGATCAGTTTTTATGGCTCAAACCGCTCCACGAGTCAAAGTGGTCTTGTTGCTATGGCAGCTCAGGTCAGCAGGTCAATTTTTTCGCGCGCGGAATACAAACCGTATGCACCGTACTACATGTTTCGCACGGAACGTCACTAGCTCACTTCCGGTCAAAGTACGCTTCCGTTCACATTGCACGTTAGAGCGGTCCAAAGCGCTCTTAATAAGACCCGTTCCTCAAGACCACCTCCCGAGGTGGTCTTCTGGAGCGGTCCAGAAGTCCACTTCCTGGACCACTTTGACCGTTCTCACTCACCTAAGAACTGCTCCTGAGGAACGGGTCTTAGTTAGACCGCTCCAACGAAGTGAATGAGTACAGGGTCTAAACTACTGTATATTGAGAGTATCCGTTTCTCAATATTGGAAACAAAATCACGTTTTGGGTTTTTTTTTTCTGTACTAAAAGTAAAACTTTGTGTTTGCTGGCTAGTCTGGTATATGCCTCCTTTTGTTGTTGTTTTTGCCTACATTGTCAATATTTTGCTCTAAAAGTGCTAGCGATTCCCTTTGATGGTTGACGAAGAAGAAGAAGAAGAGTGTTTCCACAAAAGTACTGTATTAAGGGGGGGGGGGTGGCCTATCGAGAGACAGATAGTGTAAGTATCGTGCATAGGAGAAGCGAACTTTGTATAGCCCAGTCACAACTCCTTTTAGAAAAAAATCAACTTGATGCTATTTCAATAGCCTTGTGTGTCACCTTTTGAATTGTGCGAACACGACAATGTCTTATCACGTAATCAGAAAATGAACTCTTTGGGCATGATGGTAACCCTCTTGGCGTGGATGGCACACAGGTTGGTGTCCTCAAAGAGGCCAACTAGGTTGTACAGTCAATGGGGAACCGGTATTAAAATCACCCTGGACTTGATATTCCGAAATTAGTGCGATCGTGCTGTATGTTGTTGTATAGAAGTGTAATGTATATGATGTCACGGTACATTATCCAGTTAGTTTTATATCTACCGGTACAGGTATTTTCCAACCATGGACGAAAAGGTACAAGTCACATGCAGGGATTCGTTAGAAATATGAGATTACGCTTCATCTATATTTCGGCATTTGTTTTCTTGTAAAGCCCTAATATTGAAATGGATGGAAGTGGCGGTTGATTTTTCGAAAGTCTTTACAGTTCTATTTTAACGTATATGACACATTTAATATTCATTTTGGGCTCAACTCTAGTGCATTGTACATGTAACTGACTCTTTCGGGGTTATTAATACATCAGTCTTCTAGCAGAATGTTTATCGATATTGTATTTAATTTTAATACAGGCTGATAATAAACACTTTTTCATTGTGTATGTATTATTTCTTTCACTGTGTGTTTATTTGCTTTATCATATGTGTTGTAGGATTCAGGGATGCCAGTTAGGAATTGATCAGAGGGCCTGAAAATCACCTAAAATGAGCTATTTGTACACAAAAAAGCCTACCGTACACTATGGCCTGAAAATAACTTGCCAGGGCCTGAATTCAGGCTTTTGCCTGAAAACTGGCATTCCTGAGGATTTCCCCTTTTCAAACTGGGCTTTTTGAAGGCAATTTTGTGCAGAGTTTCTCCAAAGATGTACCTGTAACAAGCAATTATTTATCAGTAACGGACATGCAGACATGTAGGATTTCCTGTTCATTTTAACATTTTTTTTCATTTAAATTCAATTTCGTACTGAGAATCCCGCATCTAGCAAATGTCAAAGTTAATTTAGTAATTTGCCATTCAAGTTAGTCAAAGATTAATTATAACACTTGTCCATTCATTTTCTTCAGGTTTCATTCAAACTCCGGCATCTCACCTAGCGGTCCGCTGCAGAAAGTAATAATCATATATTTTTTTTGTTTAATCAATTTCAAGAGTTTCATTCAAATTTGACACATAGACATGAACGATGCTTTGCACAAAATGACGAGATTGATTCATGCGATTGTATGTTTGCAGCTGAGCATGACCATTGATTTGACTTTGATGAAACTGGATGTAAAATAATGAAATTGAATGGACAAAGTTAAAAAATGAATGAACAAAGACAAAATTTACCATGAGATGTGACAGATTAGGGAGGTTTCAGGATTGAATTGAAGTTTTAAAAGTGTTAACATGGATGTGAAAAACAAATATAAGGAAGCATTACCTTATGAAGAAAAAAAAAAGTGGATATATTAAAAATTCATCATTTTAAAGATGGGGAAAGTTAAATTCCAATTTGTTTTTAAAGGAAATAGATGATTAGAAGCATATACATGTATTTACACTGTTTTAGATCAGTTTAGCTATCTACATGATTATTCTAGTCGACCGTAAATGTAGCTACAATATCGTCGGTGGGGTGACAAAACCTTGTATCTCAATTTTTTTAGATTTTGATTTTTTTGCATAATTTTCTTCCTAATGGCCTACGACACCACCTGATAAATCCATGGAACGCCTCCTGTCTCGGTTTTTTCACAAATTCCAAACAAAGGACGGTGTCACAGCACTAAATCTGTTGAGACAGGAAAGGTTTTTGCGCTCTCCTAAAAATTCATGATTTTTTAGATACTGTACAAGGTTTTGTTACCCCACCAACGATATGTTTCACCTGAACCATCTATCTTTAATATGTATTTCTTTTTTTAATAAATATTTGTTGTTTAAATTAAAGATGACCTTGCAAGTGGGCGAGTAGATATGAAAAAGCAGAGTAATATTTATAACTACAACAAAATTAAAACGAGCCCCCCCCCTAAAAAAAATGATAAGGATCTCCCCCCCCCCCCTCCCCCCCCCCCCCCCCCCCCCCCCCCCCCCCCCCCCCATTGTGAAGACAAGGGTCACAAAGTTTGTATATTAAATCTTTGGATACTCATTTTAAAGACCTCTTTTTTCTCTCTGGCCCCTGCCCCTTTCCCCCCCCCCCCCCCTTCTCTCTCTCTCTCGCACTCTCCCATTTCATACAAAATCAAACAAATGTGAAATCCACATTAAAAAAAACATTCTTTTTGTTTTTAAGACTTTTTTTAATTACATTCCAGGTATGAACAATCAACTGATTTTGTATATATAATACAGAAATTAAACAAATTTATGTACACACATGCAAACAAGAATTATTCGGATTGGCCATTTTCTAATATTAAACAAAAAATGTTCTGTCTACTACAGTCCACAAGTACATGACCTAACTAAGTTAAAGTTTTCAACTTTATTATTCATACCCTTACCAAGTTTTGCCATTTTCTAGGTAGGTGAAAAATTGATTTGCCCCGATTTATGTTTCTTGAGAATGTGATATTAAAGATTACATTGTAAAGTATTCAACAAAGGCCCTACCTAATACATACAAACAATCCTCCTTTTATTCTTGATTTATGATAAAACACAAAACAGATCAAATTTATAAGGGGAATGAATAATTCAGTTGTCAAACGTTTATCCACATCTAATTATATGGAGATGGTCATATTTTATAAACGATGTAAAAGGTCACAAGGTCGCTGTATCTTGTCTACAATGAACCGGAGAGCACAAGCACATGAGAAAGATGTGGGAAATAAAAAAACTCAAAGAGTGAAAATACAAGCTCTCATATATCGAAGAGGCTCTTCAAAAGCCTTGTAACTCGATCACACCGCCAAACTGACTCCAGACCGACTCAAGACTGACTCAAGACTGACTCAAGACCGACTCCAAACCAACTCGAGACCAACTCAAGACTGACTCAGGACCGACTCCAAACCAACTCAAGACCAACTCAAGACCGACTCAAGACCGACTCAAGATCGACTCAAGACCGACTCCAAACCGACTGATTTTTTTTTGGGGGGGGCCATTGGGGGTAATGTAATTGTTTTTTTCGGTCTGCACGGTCTCGCGTCGGTCTCATGTCGGTCTTGCTGGTGTGACTGAGGCATTACCCAAGTAGATAATAAATGTTCGCTCTGCTACCGCAACCTGCGATATAATATGCATATACAATTTATTCCTATGTACATGTGATTGAGTGTTCTACCGAGTGTAGTAAAATATTTCTTGCATGAACGTATATTATTAAAGAGGAAGTCCACCCTGATGTTAATTTGAAAAAAGTAGAAAAATGAGAGAAACGGTTGAGTAAAAGTATGTGCAAAATCCGATCAAAGGTTATGAATATGAATATGTACATGGAATATCATGAAGTTTCATTTTTTTATTTATCAAAAAAGCAAAAGATTTTTTTGATAAAGAAGTTGTTTTAGGAGACATCTAGGGTGCACATATGATCGACAATTTTTCTAAGAGACAATTGGAATTCATGAAATTTTAGTACATAACAAATGGAAGGGGACCTCGAAAGATACATCACAGAGTTGCCTATTTGTGTTTGATCAAATGCAACTTCAAAAATCGATAACTTTCTTAGTTTCATCTGATTTTGCTCAAATTTCCGCTGACATGTTTCTCTCGCTTTCCTGCTTCTATCAAAACCAGCTTTGGTGTCGGGGTGGACTTCCCCTTTAAACGTTGCTGTAAATTCTATTGTTGAAGCACAAACTATGATCCGTTAAAGCTACAAAAATTGCACTACTTCACTACCAAAGTACAAACAAAATTTAGGCCTGCACACACACAACTACAGATCCAATCAGTATGTGTACTTATACCTGGAATGAAAAGGCTACATAACTGCAGTGTATTTGTAAACATATCATAAACAGCTTCATAACTAGTTAACCAGCGATTCCATTTTGACAGGTTTGAACTTTGAACCTAGCAAGCCCACCTTTGAACTGGTGAAAACAATTTATTTCAGCTAACTCTGCATAACTTGAGGTCGCACAAGTCAAATTTTCCCTAAAAAAAAAAACCAAACTATCCAAAACATGTGTTATTTTAACTTTCCAAGTTGAATTTCGCATAAATCCAACTATTTGTTTGCCGTCCAAACTGATTTGTCTTTAGTTACGCAAAGTTTTCTGTACTTTCAATCAAATTCACAAGGGGTATGAATAATTTAGTCGTTACCGGTAACTCTATGTAAAAATGAGTGAACATGATCGATACATCACATGTAAAGCAAAATAGTTGTACAAATGAAAATCTTAAAGATAAACTAGAGTTCTGGTAAAAAAAGAAGATGAATTCACACAGAATCTAACGAAACTTACACTGAATGTTCAAGATTACAAAAAAATGTCATGATGATTTTGATGTCTCCAGAACCTTGCAGTACACACCAATACTTACATGCTATATGATCAACTTTTCTGATCCATTCAACACCTTTTCTTTCACAATGCAATCGCATAACCAGAACTCACCTTTATCTTTAATCTGATCAAAATAAGACGTATCGTCTCCTAATATAACAGTTATTGTAACTTGTTATTGATAGCAAGCTTTTGGAAACGGGGCCAAGAACCAATCACAAAATTAGTGCTGTAGTCAAACGTTTAACCGTCCGGTATCCGACCGCCCATGGCGGATTCCGTTTTCAATTGGACGGTTTCGTTTTCCCGATTTTTTTTTTTTTTTTTTTTTTTTTTAATATTTTTTTTTTTTTATAATTTTTTTTTTTTTTTTTTAAAAGTTTCGATTTATGCCCCTCCACCTGGCACTATGCCTGGCAATGTCTCCCAGCTCAGTAATCTGTGTGTTGACTCACCACTCCAAAACTAGAACAACACTCCAATTTGTCTGTCATCTTGGTTTGAAAGTAATCTGTGTAATAGATCTCATCATCTCAATATGTAGTTTATAATAATAATTCATCCAACTTTTATACAAGGTTCTGTCCTAGGTCCTCTACTGTTTTTAATTTACATTAATGATCTTACACATTCTTCTAAAAACAACATTGTTACTATTATTTGTGACAAGTTCACAAGCACAAATCGGCCCCTTTAAATGCACCTCGCAGTTAAATGAAAGTTGCCGACAGAGTCGGTACCAAAAAAAAAAAAAAAAAACGATTTTTTTTTTTTTTTTTTTTTTTTTTTTTTTTAAATCGTTTAACCGAAAACCGTCCGGTTTTGACTGGCGGTTAAACGGAATTGGAGATATCCGTGATGTTACAGCACTACACAAAATTCATGAATATTTCATTCACTCGGTTTATACAGTTATATTATAAGTACGGTATATATAACAAAAAGAATGAATGAATTACAGAGATAAATGCAAAATTTGAGGATACAAAGTTAACAGTTGTTTAGTTTAACGTAACCAAAAACAAAAAGTTTTTTCTAAATGATGAACACTTTTCATCAAATTAACGACTTCATGATCTTCAAAATAACATTTTTTATATATTCCTTAAACAGGGTCGTACAACAGTTTTAACTTATATCCATACCCAAAGTATGTATCAGTCGATTATTAATTATTGATATAAAATGTGTATACGTTAATGAAAAGAGAAAAAATCAGCGTATCAAAAAATGTTATATGACCAATAAACACACTTAATACAACGCCAACAAAATGTCTGAGTCTCTACTACAGCACTCCCCATACATTTCAATAATATCTGTTTTTCTGGTTTTTAAAAAAAAGGTCAAGTTTGACAAGTAATAGTCTCGATACAAGCATGTTTATAGACTGAGAATTGTAAAAACAATTTCTTGTATTGGTGGCCTCCTCTCTATAAGGCCCACTAACGGAAACATCAAAAATTGTTTAAAAATGTTATGGTATGACAAAAAAAACACTCAATACAAAACAAGGTAAGTGCCTGAGTCCCTGCTAAGATTTCAAACAGAAAAAGTGGCCAACATAGACAGGTGGGCTTTATAGGGAGGTGGCAACCAGGACAAGTAAAGATTCTTAACTTTCTCAGTCAATAAACAGCTTAGATTGTTAGTGTTTTTAAGAGTAGTGACTATGCAGCAAAATTGCCCTGCCCCATTCAATATTTTTTTGATTGAAAATAGCAAACTAGCGAGGCATAAAAAAAATGCTCCTCTACATGAAAATCAAGACTTAGTCTGTCAGCTCTTACATCTCTTAGGTCATGTAAACACAGGGGTGCCACAGGGATCTATATTAGGCCCCCTACTCTTTAAAATGACAAATAAATACAGTCAAACCTGTCTATTGAGGCCACCTGATGAAAACAGAAAAAATGGCCTTTCTAGGCAGGTACTTTCTTGAGGGAGGTAATATACATACAGGTACATGACCACTAAAGACAGGTGGCCACCAAGACAGGTTTGGCTGTAAAAAACAGAAACATCATGAAATACAGTGGAACCACGATACAAAGAAACCTTCCCAATCTTTGTATTTAACTACTGATTAGCCTAGATATAATTATAAAACAATATTACCACAATGAGGTAATATTTCCTCGATATTTGTTGTAAGTTTCCATTGTAATTTTCTAAGTATTTGATATATACATCATGACTCCACCCATATCACTAATGATTCATCAAAGTGGAATTATGATCTATATTGAAGAAATTGTTTGTGATAATAATCAGGGGAGCTTACAGGATTCTGACGCTCCACTTGATTTATCTTTTAGCTTAGATGGAGGAGGCTCAATCAGCTGACTGGGTCTGCTGGTGTGAAGTCAGGAGATAAAGACCTGGGAATGAAAGAGAGGGAGAGAGAGAGAGAGAGAGAGAGGGGGAGAGATAGAGAGAGAGAGAGAGAGAGAGAGAGGGGGGGAGCAAGAGAGAGAGAGAGAGATGAGAGGAGAGGGAGAGCAAGAGAGAGAGAGAGAGACGAGAGGAGAGGGAGAGCAAGAGAGAGAGAGAGAGAGAAAGAGAGAGAGTTAGAGAAAGAGAGAGCAAGAGAGAGGGAGAGAGATACATAAAGAGAGAGAGAGGGGGAAGAGAGACAGACAGACAGAGAGAGAGAGAGAGAGAGAGAGAGAGGGAGGAGAAAAAGAAATAGAATTTTTTTTAAATCTCACTAATTAAATGATTCCTTCATTCATTTATTAAATTATTCATGCTTTTACAATATCATTTACATTATTACTGGTTCATTATTAAATGTAATCAATGAAAACAAGGCAACCAAGTTTGAGTAGAATAATTGATAACTCACCTTACCACACATCGGCATCATCATCATCATCATCATTTTTAAAAAGAAAGAAAAATACTCGGGTGTGCCATTAAAACAATGACCCTTCGGGCGGCTGTTGGCTTTTATTATTGTCCTTGGAATTCATTGACTGTCGGATCTTAGTCAGGATGTCTTTAAGGGTGAATTTAGGTTGCCAGTTCTTGAGGATGTCCAGTTTCCTGGGATTTACCTGTACATGAAAAAGGGCATAGGTGTAAGGTTAGTGAACACAGGGGTGCCACAGGGCTCTATCTTAGGTCCCATTCTCTTTACTATCATGGTAAACATACTTCCCGATGAGTCTATGTATATTGATTACTTTGCAGGCACTTTGCAGTCCCAAACATGCATCGTCAAACCTGAATGGGGTCATGCAAACACAGGGGTGCCACAGGGATCTATCTTAGGCCCCCTACTCTTTACTATAATGGTAAACAATCTACCTGATGAGTCTATGTATATTGATTACTTTGCAGGCACTTTGCAGTCACAAACATGCATCGTCAAACCTGAATGGGGTCTTGTATACACAGGGGTGCCACAGGGATCTATCTTAGGCCCCCTACTCTTTACTATCATGGTAAACGATCTACCTGATGAGTCTATGTATATTGATTACTTTGCAGGCACAAACCTGCATTGTCAAACCTGAATGGGGTCATGCAAACACAGGGGTGCCACAGGGATCTATCTTAAGCCCCCTACTCTTTACTATAATGGTAAACAATCTACCTGATGAGTCTATGTATATTGATTACTTTGCAGGCACTTTGCAGTCACAAACATGCATCGTCAAACCTGAATGGGGTCTTGTATACACAGGGGTGCCACAGGGATCTATCTTAGGTCACCTACTCTTTAATATAGTGCCTCTGTGGTCATGTAAACACAGGGGTGCCACAGGGATCTATCTTAGGTCACCTACTCTTTACTTTCATGTAGAGTGCTTCAATACAAATCATTTCATTCACGTGTTACAAATAATTGTATTATAATAGTCAAAATGTTAATTGCATACGATTTGTGTAATTGAATAGGGCTATCAATATTCCTCTTTACCAACATGTAGTCTCGGCTAATGTATGCAATTTGCATTATGGCTATCGAGATAAAATTATTTGTAATAAGTTAATGAAATAATTTGTATTGAAACACTCTATGAGGACTTATGCGTTAAATTTGATTACAATGCGAAAGTGGCATGCTAGAACAATATTTACCAATGATTCCAGTCATGGATAATTTCAAAATAAACTCCTCAAATTAAGTTCAGCTATTCAAGTCAGGGAGGTGAAAGAAAGGAGTCGAAACTCTTGTAATTTATTCAAACGCATTTGTGAGTTCTAAAGCGTATAACAATGGGATGTGTAACATTCCACTTGGCTTTGAAGTTCCATGCTCCGAGCCGTGCTTCCACTGCGGGGAAGTTTGGAGGCCAGGCACCAGTTTCACATTTATTACAAAATATTAAATAACCAGCAAAATTTTGATGTAAATTATAAACTTTATATGGGGATTGTATTGGGAATAGTGCATCAAACAATTTTTCAAATTTAGGACGCCGCCCTTCCTAAGATTTGTGTGTCAGAGTTGTTAAAATAAAAATTAAAGATCCTGATAAAAACTCAATAAGTTAGGATAATGCGCTAATTTGTGCATGTTTTGATGTCCCGTTATGTAATCCATGATTTACAATCTTCGACAACATTAAGTTTGCTAATGCGTGTTATTGCGTGTTTTTTGCAGTTGGAAAAAGGATGAAATTACGCAAGTTTGTGTTTGCTTGTTCTACTCTTTACACATTCAACAATAGATGAGAAATCATTGAAAGGGACAGCGAACAGTTGCAGTGATACCATTTTCTGATGTAAGAATTCTAAATCCTGAAATTTCATGTGCTCTTTTATCTCACCACCTGGTCAACAGTTGCAGATTAGCGCATAACTTTTCGGCGGCTTGGAGCATGGGGTCAAAGGAGAGCGGCTTGATTCCAGTCCTTCTCTATCACGTCCCTGCTCAAGTTTGAGAATTGATATCTCTCAGGTCTGTTGTAGTTGTTACTATATCATCATACTTGACGTTGTAATGATTATTTTATCATGGAATTGCAGTACACTCAAATATGGGGTCAAGTCAAAAGTGAAATGCTGCAATGTTTTGAATGATGTAGAGGCAGTCAGACTCAAGACAGACTCAAGACCAACTCAACACAGACTCAACACATTCCCTTATAAATTTGATGTTTTTTGTGTTTTTCAAAACTCAAGAATAAAAGGAGGATTGGTTAAATTTGGAAGGGCCTTTGTTGAATACTTTACAATGTAATCTTTAATGTCACATTCTCAAGAAACATAAATCGGGGCAAATCAATTTTTCACCTACCTAGAAAATGGCAAAACTTGGTAAAGGTTAACAAAAACAATGCATTTTCGCAACATTTCAATTATGACTCCTTTGACTTGGCCCCAACATTCAGGTGTACGGCACATTCCATGATTACATAATCATTACAAATGGGGCATCATTGTAAAGGGGACTAAACAGGCTTTTCAATGATACCAACATCAAGTTGGACAATATAGTAACAAGAGAGATATACACTATGAACATGACATACAAAATATACAGTTCCTCATTCTACCCTCAACAATTGCTGTGGTAGACAAAGGAACATGCCATCACTGCTACTATGTAAAAATGTGTAGAACAGGTGAATATGCATGTGACACCTGTTCTACAAATTTTTACATAATAGCAGTGAAGGGATGTTCCTTTGTCTACCACAGCAACTCTTGAGGGTAGAATGAGGAACTGTATATTTTGTCCTCTTTCTTTGTCCGTCATGTTCATAGTGATAAATGCTCAAACTTGAGCAAACAATTTTCATAATTGTTGCTAGGTGGAACAAACATTATGGCTTGGCCTACCAAACAACACAGAATGTACCGGTATGCCATTCACATTCTACCTATTGAAATAATATTATTTGTAACAGGTGAATGAAATAATTTTAACATCGCACTTCACAAAGATTTGTGAATTAAATTTGATTACACTTTGAAACTGGTCTATCTAAATATTTTTGTACCACAACTATCAATGATAACGACGCCAAATATGATAGTATATAGAGAGAGAGATAGCAACGCTCAAACGTGAGTTATTGGACCTTTTTTGAGGAGTTTATCTGAGCATCATTTGAAAGATCCTTGTATACTTACAACACCCTCTGAGTCAACACAATTCAAAGATATTTTGGTGACAAATTGAATTGAAGGAGCTTCAGCTGGATACCTGTCTCCGCAGTAAATATTCAACGAATAGATTCGGCCATCGTATGCTGTCTGAGAATATAAAAGAACAAATCAAAGTCAGAAAATCATGAAGTTTAAAAAAATATCAATATAATATATGGTATAAACAAGAAAACAAGTCCAGCTTGAGGCTGGAGGAGATTACTACAGTATAAGACAGTGTTGAGTGACCGAAGGCCGGCTTCTGCCTCAAAGGTCCCAGATTTGACCACGGCCTCAAACACTTAGGCTAAGTCCAGCTTGAGGCCGGGGGAGATTACTACAGTATAAGACAGTGTTGAGTGACCGATAGCCGGCCTCTGCCTCAAAGGTCCCAGATTTGACCACGGCCTCAAACACTTAAGCTAAGTCCAGCTTGAGGCTGGGGGAGATTACTACAGTATAAGACAGTGTTGAGTGACCGAAGGCCGGCCTCTGCCTCAAAGGTCCCAGACTTGACCACGGCCTCAAACACTCAGGCTAAGTCCAGCTTGAGGCTGGAGGAGATTACTACAGTATAAGACAGTGTTGAGTGACCGAAGGCCGGCTTCTGCCTCAAAGGTCCCAGATTTGACCACGGCCTCAAACACTTAGGCTAAGTCCAGCTTGAGGCCGGGGGAGATTACTACAGTATAAGACAGTGTTGAGTGACCGATAGCCGGCCTCTGCCTCAAAGGTCCCAGATTTGACCACGGCCTCAAACACTCAGGCTAAGTCCAGCTTGAGGCTGGAGGAGATTACTACAGTATAAGACAGTGTTGAGTGACCGAAGGCCGGCTTCTGCCTCAAAGGTCCCAGACTTGACCGTGGCCTCAAACACCCCCCACCCCTGGCCGCACTCTGCTGCAGCGCAACAAGTCGGCGGTCAAAGCATTGTGTTTAGTAACGGTACACATCCCCCTAGGCCACTAATTCCCCCCCCCCCCTCCCCCTCCTCCTCGCTTGCAAAACGCATGCCGCTTGCGCTTTATTGAGTGTATTAGACATTGTCAACTTTCGTCAGGTTGCACCACACCTTGCTGTGTAAACACAATGCATGGTATTCTCGAAAGCGGACTAACTTTAGTCCATGGTTTAATCCACTGACTAACTATGGATTGCCAAGTGTCCATATGAATATATTTTTGAATAATTTAATCTGTCACTAAATTAAAATGAAATGTAATTACATAATGAATAAACAACAATATAACTTTGATATAATTATGTTAACATGGTAATTTAGGGACATATCAAATTGTTCAAAAATATATTCATAAGGACACTTAGCATTCCATATATAGATGGATTAAACCATGGACTAAGGTTAGTCCGCTGTCAAGAATACCACTCGACATAATAAAATCATCATCATTAATATTGGATCACGGAAAGAAGGAATGCTCAGTCGAGTTTTTCCTGTTGAAAGATTATGTATTAATTAGCAATTGGTTCAAATGCTATTAAGCAAATCTGTAATTTGATGCATTATTTATACAAGCACATCACCACACATATTTTAGACAATTATGGTAATTACCTAACTGACCAAAAATACTCTCGCCATACCTGGCCATACAAGTTGTGTACATTCTACGCTCGTTAATTACATTATATTCTAAATTTCCACGTCACACATTTGCTTAATTGCATTTGAACCAATTGCTAATTAATACGACATCTTTAGCAGGATCTACTCGAAACCGTGGAACACAAATTACCCCTCTCGGAGACATTTGTGACAAAACTGATACATCAAAAATTGTGGACAAACACGTCCGTTCTCTGACTTGATGATGTGGCTCTGAACTTTGCCATGACCAATTTTTGCCACGTACAGGTCCCAGATATTCTAAGGTGACCTTAAAGAAACACATGTGATCTTTTTAAAGGAAAATAAGAAAACTTTTTAAAACATGAAAAATGGTCTAAATTCTTGGTAGAAGATAACAAATGAAAAAGTGACATTTTCACTGAAACAAATATAACACACCCTCTGATGCCCTAAGATCATTCCAGTCCACTTCCTCATCATCATATCATCATCTGTTTCCAGACCCCAGCTGACGAAGCCGTCTCCTCCTTTCTGCCCTTCCTCCAGCTCCTCCAGTAGCCGGAAACTTCTGGGGAGCTGCAACATGGAACCTGCAAGAAGAAGAAAGGAGACAAAAGATTCAGAGGCGATGTGACAACATGTACGCACATTCTCCACTCCCTGGGGAGTATTCCAGCCAGGCGCCACTTTTGCGACCGCACACTTGCTCATCAAACCACATTTACTCTCGCATCCTACCGGGTACCTATTTAACACCTGGGTGGAGAGTGGCAAATGTAGTTCAATGTCTTGCCAAAGGATATTAGTGCAGCGGTGGGACTTGAACCGCAGACCTTGTGATCCACAGTCTGGTGACATACCCACTCGTCCACAACATCTCCAGTCTACTAGTGATCTAGTGCACTTGTGTCAGACTGTACATTTACTAGAGGTGTCTCGGACGAGTGGATATGTCACCAATCTGTGGATCACAAGATCCGCGGTTCAAGTCCCACCGCGGCACTAATGTCCTTTGGCAAGACATAGATCTACATTTGCAACTCTCCACCCAGGTGTTAAATGGGTACCCGGTAGGATGCGAAAGCTAATGCGCTTAGATTAGCAAGTGTGCGCTTGTAAAAATTAACGCCTGGCTGGAATGCTCCCCAGGGAGTGGAGAATGTGCATACATTGTGTGCGGGTTAGCCTGAATCTGATGACAGGGGTAATAATATATATCTATCTGTAAAGCGCTTTGAGAGGGCCTTCGGTCCAGAGAAGCACTATATGAGAACTAGCTATTATTATTACCGGTATTATAATCTTTCGGGGCAAGATATAATTTATAGGGCTAAATTGATCACATATTGTTCAAATTGGAAACAATTCGCTACAATGCAATGTCTCTGAAAACAATGAAATGCCAATGTGTGCCAATTAAAGGATTTCAAAACTTATTTTCCTTTTTAAAATTCCCAGCATCACATGCACTATATTCGTGAAACAAAAATGCAGTGTTTGCAGATATTTTTACCCTTTTTACTTGTGATATCTGGGTGGTGTTTCACAAAGATCCTAAGTTGAACTTATCTCTAAGTTGGACTTAAAAGTTATGGACAGCCATTGGAGCCTTAAAATTAAATATATTCAAAAGCAGAAATTCAAATATTTTAGACTTTTTATAAATTCCACATCAAGAACATGAAATCACCTTGGTGATAGAAAATATGAAAGATTTGAATCAACATTTTATGCCTTTAAAAATAACTTTTACAAAATATTTTCAAAGATGCTAATGGCTTTCCATAATTGTTAAGTCCAACTTGGAGATAAGTTCAACTTGGGATCTTTGTGAAACACCCCCCTGGTATATATTTGAGGGCTCTGAATTAAAAGGTATTGAGCCGAACCACAAAATGTGGAGTGACTGTCGCGGAAAGGGATAAGCACCTAAAGATGATGTTATCAGTAGGCAGTAGCGGCATGGGCTCTTAGGAATTAGGATTCCGAATCTATCTTTACACCTTGCCCGTCACCAATGCCCAAATGAAGTATGCTAAGGGTTTAGATTAGAGGGAAGAAACTGCAGAAACAGCAGAATTATTGTAATATACACTGCGTTTGAGCACATAACCCCAATATTGCGTTCTCTTCATTGGCTTCCCATACACCATCGTATAACATTTAAAGTTCTTCTTCTTACATACAAAATTCTCCATGGCCAAGCCCCTAAATATCTTTCAGATTTGATTTCCTTACGTTCTTCTAGTTCTTTAAGACCTCTTCGATCATCATCAACCTTGCAGTTAACCCTCGGACCTTGTACCGTTACAAAATATGGCGATCGAGCTTTCTCAGTAAATGCCCCTATCCTTTGGAATAAATTACCAGCGCACTTTCATAATATTCATTCTCTTGACCAATTCAAGACCTTGCTGAAAACTCACCTTTTTAATTCATAAACAATATTCTGCAGTTGTGAGTCGGTCAAAGGAGGTGCACACCATCTTATTTTTTTGTTTGTTTGATCTTATGTTTGATCCTATGTTTGACCTCTTGTATGTATGTTTGATCTCACTCTTATCTTATTTTTTATTATTATATATGCATGATTTATTGAATAAAGAACAGATGTATAAGTTGTGTGTTTATTATAAGTTTTGGTAAATAATTGTTTAGTCAGAATATTAGAGACACCAGTATTGAGCGCCTTATAAATATTGTGTATTATTATTATTATTTTAGCAATTAATGTGCCTTGGTTGAGAGACACTGCCCTCATTTAATACAAGTCCCATTTTTCTAAACAAAAAAGACAATGTCAAAGGTGGTCCATTTGTCTACGATGACCATGATGACAAGAAACTAAAGCAGTCCACCTGATAAAGTGACTAGTATACCCAGATGTTGAGTGCCTGGACACAGCTGGTAAGTTGATTTAAAACAGCAATATGAAGAAGTTTACAAGCAATATTTCATAACTCATGTATGTTGGCCAATATCCAGAGACGCCAAGTTCAAAGATCGGCAATGCGTGACATTTTCATGATTCGGCGTGCGAGTGCGCGTGCGAGGGTATAACACACGTATAAGGTATAGCGTTTTTTCAAGAGCATTTTCAGACCTTCGAAATGCGTGATGTCACGCCTAATGCGTGATACTTGATAGCTCTGCAATATCATAAAGGACAAATATTTACAATGGTAAGTGCTCTTTGATAATTATTTTTCATTAATTTCAAAGGAAATATAGACGGCTTCATGTTTAAGTGTCCGGACACCCAACCCCCATCACTTTAGACCCACAGGGTTCGTACGGGTCATGGAAAACCTGGAAAGTCATGGAATTTTACTTTATTGCTTTTAAGGCCTTGAAAGTCATGGAAAATTATTTTTTCCATTGGAAAGTCATGGAAAGTCATGGAATATCAAAATTATGGACAACTATAGTATTTTCTCACTATACAAGTGAATAAATGGAGATATTTCAACCATTTTCTTCTCGTATTTTCTTTCATTCGTAACATACCGACTGATTGTACTTGTGAATGTGTTCACTATGATCGATGGATAAGCGCTGTGTACGTGGGTGTGTACGTGTACGATACGAACTACGTGTGTATGGTCAGTGTATGGCGGTACGGTCCACATCGTGCGCACATGGCTAGCTTGCGAGCGAGCTCGCTAGCGCTAGCTCAGTTCAGCAAGCTAGCGCACGTGTACGTGTGCAGTGTGTGTGTGCATATGATGATGGTGCCAACGCGACATGTGACACTCCAAGAACGAATGTAATGCCTCGATTGCACTTTGGCTTTGCATTAAATTGCGACCACTTAGACTACTACAATTTTTACACTTCTCCAATAAATGAGGAAAAAGTAAATTAGTAATATTTGTTTTTTAATTTTCATTATTTAAATAAAAAAGGAACAATACTGACGTGTCAACAAGGCAAATTGGCAGCGCTAGCTCGTTGACGATCTATATATCGACGCGACGGCATGTGTTTTGAAACTTTTGTGCATGTGTTGATTCTTCATGAAACGGAGTTGTTTATTTTCACAGACCTTGGAACTCGTCACGTGGATATTTTCACCATTACAAATTTTGTGGAAGTGATATTCAAAATGCCTGGAAATTGTCATTTTAAGGATGCTTGGTTAGAACACCCGGATTACCGTGGCTGGATTTTGAAAGAAAGTTCCGATCTGGGGACTGCTAGATGTGCTGTTTGTATGTGTAAATTCAGTGTCCGTAATATGGGCGAAGCAGCCGTCAAGAGCCACAAGAAGAGTGAAAAACACACAGCAAACCTCCAACAGCAACAACGTCGTAAGTGAGCATTTTTAATGTGAATTTTACCGATCCTTTATTGAGCATGAATCCAAATAATGACTGATAATAATTATATAAAAATGAAAGATTTGAGATTATTTAGCGATGCGATGTCACCTCGCAGGCATTGGTTACTGCTTACTGCGACCAGCCCGTTCGGGAGCGTCCCCGGCCCCGGGCCGGGCCGGCTAGGTTACTGCATGCAACAGCCCGAACGCTAACCCAGGGGGCTCCGCACTCACACGCCAGTGTTGTACCGGGCACTGTATGTGGACTGCAGAAAAAAAAAAAAATAATAATTTACCTTAAAATTGACCCCAAAAATAATAAAACTAAATTTTGTACTTACAATTGGGTCCAACAGTTTGCTTGCCTTGAGAAGTATTTCCTCCTTTCTATTTCTTTAAAATATGTTTTTAAGGAATGAGTCAAAAATTAGTCCACTTGTCTTAGTGACTTACATCAATTGGCCAAAAGTTGCCGTGAATTTTTTTTTTTTTTCCTTCCCCATACTGTCAAACGGTTGTCAAAATAGGAAAACGTTTATGCTTTTAATGGTCGTTTGAACGGCAGTTAAACGTTTTGACTCGGCCCTAAATCTTACCAAATGATGATATTTATATTTTATTTATTTTAATAGACATTTTTTTCTTTTCTCCTAGATTCTACTCTCTCACTCAAGAGCTTCTTCAAGGCAAAAGGTGCAGAAAGTTCATCAGTATCTATCACGTCTACAGATGCAACAACCAGTACTTGTGCGCCATCAACCTCTAAAGTGACAACTCCCATTCCTGTTGCTGCAAGAGAGGAAACTTTAAAAGCTGAAATACTCTGGTGTCTGAAAGTGGTGGAGGATCATTTATCATTTCATTCTTGCCAGCACAACAGTGAGCTCTTTCAAAGAATGTTTCCGGACTCGGCTATTGCTAAGGGTTTCACGTTGTCAGAAACAAAATGTCGGTATATGACGGTGTTTGGTTTGGGCCCATATGTGCAAGACCTCCTTTATGACAACATAAAACAATCAAACCACTATGTGATACTGTTTGATGAAAGCCTCAACAAGAAGCTCCAGAAAAAGCAGATGGACTTCCTCATAAGAACATGGCAACACAATGAAGTTTGCACTCGCTACTTGACGTCTGTGTTCATCGGACATGGTTCAGCTGTTCACCTCAAGGAAGAACTGAATAAAGTTCTGCACACAGTTGGCTTGGAAAAATTACTGCAAATATCAATGGATGGTCCCAACGTTAATTGGAAGATGTATGATGACTTTACGCGAGAGTACACTGCTGACCTGACCAAATCCATACTGAATATAGGCTCATGCGGGCTCCATATAGTTAATGGTGCTTTTCTGACAGGTGCCAAGGCTGCTGACTGGGAGGTGGAAAGCTTTCTATCA